TTCCTCAATGACCATATTTCTACAGCATTTATTCTAACTCTCGTGCTTCTTCTGCCACACCCAGCTTTCACTACCATACGTTAAAGAAGGTACTAATACAGCATTGTGAATTGGCATAAGTGCCTTTTTTGACACATTCTGACTTTTCACAATAGAGCGAAGGTTTTCAGCGAGAATTCATAAAATAATAAATAAACACCATTGAGATATCGAAGGTCCTTTAATTCCATGTATTTTTACAACTTAATCTGAAGTATCACATGAATTGATAGTCATACCAAAATAACCATATCAACACTGACACGTACCACGTTTTTTTTGGAGATTATTAAAACTACACTAGGTCCATCTAGATTACAACAAACTATTATATTCGAATTATGATCCAACATTAATATTACGTTATATCTAACATTAATTCTCTGGTCTAAAAGTTTTGACTCTAGTTGTTCCGGTGGCGTGTCCGGTAAATCCCAAAAGTCCAACAGCAGAAACAATTCTGATAAAATGTCATAGGCGTAAACTATATTTTAGTAGATATTTTTTATGTGGTAGAGACAGACAGCTTGAGTCTTTGCCTGCTCTGGGAAACAATAAGGCGATGTTATGAACCGAGGGTTGGAGAATGGGACGCGTATTTCTATCCCCGTGTATAACAGAAGGCAATGATTTTTCAAACGTGCACGGATTTGTTAAAGACGCTAATTCGCTTTCCAAACACGTTCCGTGCGTGTTTCAAAACGGTACTACTGCCAAATATTGGACACGAAAATATGCGACCTGGACTGAACATCCTAACACGCCATCGGAACTCCACTACGTCCGTCTCACGGAATATGCTGGGTTCGAGAGAGACACATTTACGCAAGTCACCAGATTCTTTTTTAAATTGAAAATTTGATTGTCATAGACAATAAAATACTCTAAAAAAATGTCAAAACAAATCTTTCAGCAGATGTTTTCTGAGAATACAGTTCATAAGGTCGTAACATTTAAAGTCAATAATTTATATTATTTGTGCAATGTTACTATAATTGATTGAACATCAATTAATAATTTGTAATTATAAATGACAATTGATACTATAAATGTTATTTCATCCGAAATGTAAAATCGACGTAGTTTTTAGACGCTGCTAAGTAGTAAATATAAATTGCGTCATGTATAATTTTTTATTAATACATACGAATGCATGAATTATTGTAACGAGGGTTAATAATTTACCGCTCAGCTATGATGTCGCTAATTGACACGGAGGTAAAATTTCAGTGTCATACAACAAACAATGCCTTGTTGCAGTATCCCATAATTTTTAACTCATTTTCAATTTTCTTTATTTCCCCTACTTTTAGGAATATTCTCTATTGTTTCTGCAATATATATTTTTATATATATTACAGAAACAATAATCTCTACACTTTTATAACAAACTAACTTCCCATGCTATGAAATATCGAATATTTAACGTTATGGTGAGTCTTCACTGATGACGTTTTTGGTTAACTGGCCGTTTTAGAGTTTCAAGGTCAAACGAAATATTCCCACGTATGAGATCACGATTACCATGTACTAAATGGCAATGGTTGCAAACAATCGCCAGTCGAAAACCGAGGTGGTCGCTTTCTTACAATATTACATACATTTACAAAATTACCTACACTTACAAAGGAATTCTTACAAACATTCTGGACCCTCAACGTCCACCTCGGCTGACCTCTACTTTTGTTTTTCAAGTCAAGCCACAAATAAACAAATCAATCGAAAAAAACTTATGCACCACGTTTTCAAAACGAGAAGGATACTAAGAAGTTTAAAAAACTTCTTCTTTGTTTGTTTTTCATATTCTTATATTGTCATCCGATTCTGAGATACGGTCAATATTTCAAGCCTCTAGCTCATCCTGAAGTTAGTTTAAAATTCATTACTAAATTCAACCCGAACAGTCCAGTACATAAAAGCGAGCTAGTAAAAACGTGCGTAAAGTAGTACTTGTTTCTGTCTGTTGCTATCTCGCTCTCTCCCACGCAGATAAACAGTGAGCGGACATGGTATGGATTGCGAATGATTTAAAAACGTACCGATTTACACAATTACACCCAATATTAACAATTAATGAGATCTTGTTTAAAGGCGAAGTGGATAGAGTTAGGAAACTAAAAGAATTATGCGGACCGTTTCGAACGATCGCGAAATGAGAAGGTGGGGGGGGGGGGGGGTTTAGATAGACGTGACGTTACGGCGTTACACTTGACGAGGTGTAGTTGGAGAGCAGCGGCTCTTATAAAAATACTAATGACAAAAATACAATACACAGAAATTTATGTTTATATGATATAATGCCTTTTTTGTATGGCAATAAGGTCTTCAATTGTGTACGTTACAACATCCCTCGATCTATCCCCCCCCCACTCCGCACATCGTCGTGCCTACTCTATGCCTATGGATAGGATGATTTGTATAATTTCTCACGAACAACAATTAATTCCTACGTAATACTTAACAAAGTACCGTGTCTACTCTACAGTCAAGACTATCCGAAGCGCAGACCAGTGTCTGCTGGAGATAAGCGTCATACAGCTACGATGTTGGGATTTTATCGCATCTCAATTCAAAAACGTCCAATCGCGCCGAAACCATGACGTGGTGGGAAAGACGCTCTAAATAAATACCTTAGAACCTAATCATACAGCGAATACAGTCCAATTTAAAAAAAAATGCAAAAAACTGACCGCCATACGTAACATAATTAAAACTAAACACTGATAAAACTAATACAAAAATCTAAGTCATTACACATTATGCATATGGCAGATGGAACTGCTCACACAGCACCTATTTACACCTTACGATAATCTTACATATATTGTACAAAATAAAAGGTAAACCTAAATTACATTTAACTCGATCTTTGGGATCGGGTATTGGATGTTGAACTAACAATTGTCAATAAGGCAGTATTAAATAACCGATCAGTTAGCCAAATAAAATATTATGCTTACTCAGATACAAATGTACGACAATGAAGTTTCAATCGTTCGCGTTCTTGAAGACTGTTAAGTCTACAAAATCTACCGGTTAATACCACTTCAAGTTACAGCTAGCAATACTACACTATTATATACACGAAAATGGTTAAATTCTACATTTTCCCAATTTTGCATAATGAACACAATTGTAAGTAATTTCACAAAAACGATCCAACGCACAGTAAGCTACCTTTGAGTTATTGTCCATTGAAGTATGGATCATCATTCAAATAGCTTACTTTTTATACAAGAGGGAGCAAACGAGCATGTTGATCACTCATCTGTTATGAACAACTGCCATACCAGGGGATTCGTAGGTGCCTTACCGGCCCTTTAAAATGAAGTAAGCTCGTTTTTTGAAGGTCCTAAAGTCGCGTTGGTACGGAAAAATCCCTGATGTTAAATAATTCTACCAAGTCGTGCGAGGAAGTATCTCCCAGTAAATCGCATAGTAGTGGACCGCCAAGTATCTAGATGATGTGGGTGGTTAGTTTGTACTTGTAATTGACAGAAACTTTTACTGGTATTTTTACAGACCCTAAGGATTACTTTGGCATTATATAACTCATTGTCGACCCATCGGGGTCAAATCATTGTTGCAAAACTACATTCATTATGCAACATTCGTACTATTTAGATTCAATATACTCTATTCACAATAATTTAAATACTCGATCAAGAACTTTAGCAATATGAAGCGATGTTAACCGGCGTATCTTACTCCAGTTACAGCTATTTACACCGGTCAGTGGGGTACACGTATGCTCGCCGCGGACACACATACAAACAGTTTTGTGTGTTTACATGTTCTTTATAACTGATACAAATACATTAACATTTATAACGTGCGCACAAATTACAATTCATTATGAAAATTGCAATTTGCTTCGTCAAATAGAAACTTCGTCAAATTGTACATGATTGCACTAAACCAACTAAAACCTACTATAGTCCTGTGGAGAAAACTACCTGAAATTGGACGTATGTCATATTTTTTTTATTGGGTATATGTCAATGATGTAAACCTATTAGTAACTGTGAATTATAGAGTCAAGAACTATTCATAAACAATTATTTTTTCAATTTATTTCACAAATTTTGACTACATTAGATACACGACTGTGTTTTACTTCGCAATTATATACACATAAAGATACAGCTTAAGACAAATAACACTTGTAGAATAGACAATCGATCATTTAATTAAATACATATCAAAAATGAAATCCATTTTCTTTACGCTTATGATCTATAATTCTATATTAATAATTTTAAATAGAATAAATACACTCTAAAAAGTGTTTTTAACAAAATGAAATCAACCCCCTGGTTACTATGATCTTAATTTTAAATGTTGCAAAAATGTATCGTTTTTCGACTAATCGTACTCGAGCACATATCGAGCACTAATCATCGCACGCATAATCCCATTAAGTCTCCCGTGAAAGTTCATCACATTCCTCATAATAAATCCCATGTTACAATTAAATTTGATTCCGCTTCATATTTATATAAAAAAAATTACGAAGTGACATAGAGATCTCACGGAGTTTTGTCGCGAAGGATGTTCCTACGCATTCGCTAAGATAGCGTCGGTACTCTCGGAGGCGCAATCATTTTACTATTTTATTTGTTGTTAAATAAACTCTTTTCTGTTCTAAAAATAAAATATAATACCATTTTATTCTTATGGTTACTGTAATAAAATTCGAATATAAATAATAAACACAAGTTAGATAGTTAAAAACCTTCCATTACGGCACTTCGTTTTAAAATACATAATTCTCCTGCGTTTCCGTAATTTTAAATATAGAAATCTGAAATCACGTCCTTCCAAGTATATCTTCGATAATATTATCAATGGTGAAGAGATATGGTGTGGACGCGGCGAGCTCTTGACAAGACACTAAACAGTTAAAGTACACAGAGTCGTACAAACAACTAACACTTAGTCTTTTCTGAGTCGTCCGTATGCTAATGCAGCGTCTTCGATCTTTTCGACCTCTTCAGCGCCTTAGAAGTCCTCACCCAAGGCAGCATGAAGTCTCTGCAATAGTCCAATTAATTTAATGACAGATTTGTTGCTTACTTTTACTGAGTATAACAGTTCGATGGCGGTGTCAGACTAAACACTATCCCCACATAGTGGGCGGAGCCCGTGTAGCCACTAAAATGTCACTAACACTTGACGTGTGTGACGTTCGCACGTATAAATGTCAACACGAGATGTGTTTTGACGTAACAATCGTTCCCAAATTTCGCATGCAAATTTGAAACTTGAAATGCCAAACTGCACGCTATTTACAAATAAATATGTATTAAAATCCGTCTGTCAACACAGCGAATCGGGTTTGTAGTAGTGATTAACTGATAATACGATGTAATTGCTTGTATGTGTGCTCCCGGCGACGCAATTCCTTGTACAAAATAAGGTTGACAGCCATTCTATTGTGTGTTATAGTATTCTATGCAGTATCCCATATCGCCTCATAGGTGTTGTAAAGAAGCCACAGAGGGAAACTGAAAAAGATGATAGGCAGCATCTTCCTGATGAAAACAACCGCAGTTTTTAAAACGCATAACCCACCCGTGAAGCGTGGCGACAATGGCAAAATCTCCCCCCTATTTTTAATCTATGGGGGAGGCTTATGTTGCAGCAGTGGACTATTATCGATTGTAATGGTACGGACAGATACTAAGTATACCAAATAATTATTGGGCGAGGTTTTCGCCTACACTTATATAAGCGCTGTAATTTCGCATCAGAATTGGAATTAAAAAGATATTTTAGTTTTAAGTTTATATAAATGGTCGAATCACATTGTTGCTTCTTCAAGCCCAGATACATTAGTTCCACGGAAATCAATTCGGTTCTTTTATAGAATAAAGGGTTACAAACGATCATACAGTCCACCTGATGGTAAGTGAATGTTGTGGCCCATAGACATCTACATCTATCCTCACGAATCAAAATGCAAAAGCGTTGTCATTCTTCGAATACCTCGTTTCCAGTAAAGAGGGTCTATGGTTTTCTACTGCCATTTTACGATGGTATTCTGTGAGAGCGTGATCCCTCTACGGACGAGCCGAGTCATTTGTGCTACCATCATAGCTGCCGCATGGTTCTACCTATGGAGGTTAGAGAACAGGAGAACGATCGCTGTAAAAAATAGTGTCCCAGAACTAAGGACACAATAAGTGAGGCGCTGCGATCGCTAAGTTCGCCCAATAAAAGTCATTTTCAGTCTATTTTTCAGATCAGATGCTAAACCTATCTGACACATCCACGCACAATAAAATATTTATCCATTTTCTAATGTTTCTTTTTATCAAAAATTACAAAATTACGGAGCACGAAAATGTTCTCATTAAAAAAGAAATGAAAATTTGTACATTATTCAACTAACTTCATCTACTTGTACTCATAAACAGCTAACTTCGCAGTCACTACTCACCGACGTCAGCGCCGCTATAAATTCTACAATTTTCAAGGACAGGCGGACTATGCTTTAGTACGTAGTGATCGTTCTCCTGTTCTCTAACCTCCATGGTTCTACCAAGAAAATATACCATGTACCTGAGTACCTTAGACACCTGCAATTTACATTTTCATTATATCGTCAGTAGAAAGCCAATACTACTTAAGCGCCATTTTGGCCAAAATGAGTTATACAAGGTGGCCCATAAGTCGTTAGAAATGTAAATTTCGAATAAAATACAAAAGGCGCGCATGAGTGGCGCGCGCGGTGCGGGGGAGTACCGACGGTCTCTGGGAATTCAGTCGCCATGGAGCGTTTCACCGGTGCGGACCGTGCATTTTGTGTGCGCGAGTTTTATCGAAACAATGATTCGGCTGCCATTGCGCGGCGTAAATTTCGAGAATATCAGAATTTAACGCAACTTTAAAGACATTCCAAGTGTTCAAACGATTAAGAACTGGGTTATTAAGTTCGAAGAGAGCGGTTCGACTTTAGATAAACAACGGTCAGGTCGACCAAGGACATCACGGACGGAAGAAAACATCGATGTAGTGAAACACTTAATTCGTGAAAATCTTACCCAGTCTACTCGTAAGCGTTCCAGTGCATTAAACTTAGCCAGAACATCGTTACAGTGAATTTTAAAGAAAGATTTACATCTTCACCCGTACAAGATTCAGATAGTACAGGAATTAAAAGATACTGACACTATCCACAGACTAAATTTCGCAAATGAAATGTTGAACCGCTTTACTTCGTTTAATAACGTGTTATTCTCTGATGAGGCTCACTTTCACATCAACGGCCATGTCAATAAGCAAAATTGTCGCTACTGGAGTTGCGAAAATCCAAATCGCAAACATCAAAAGCCCTTACATAGCCCTAAAGTTTGGGCGGCTATGTCAGCGCATAGCATTATAGGCCCTTACTTTTTTGAGGACGGCAGAGGCCGCGCGCTTACTGTTACTTCACAACGGTATGTAGCTATGATCCAGGACTTTTTTACACCAGAGTTGCAGAATTTTCCAGGCTTCAATACGCGGACCTGGTTTCAACAAGATGGAGCAACTGCCCATACCTCTAACGTCGCTATGCCGGTCGTCCGTCAACTTTTCCCTAATAAAGTGATCTCTCGAAGAGGAGATATTCCTTTGCCACCACGTAGTCCAGATCTGACCTCAATGGACTTTTTCTTATGGGGTTATCTTAAGACTAAAGTGTACGAAACCAACCCGCGGACAATTGACGTCCTGAAAGAAAATATCCAAAGAGAAATGGCAAACATTACAGAGCTTACTTGCCGCGCAGTGATGGATAATTTTAAACGTCGCTTATAGGAGTGCCGCGATCGTAACGGATTACTTTTAGATGATGTAATTTTCAAAAAATAATTCCCATTTTATAAGGATTATGACAAAATAAAAACCTTTTTCATAATGTCATTAGTTTTTTTAAATTATTTTTTTACATTTCAAGGGACTTATGGGCCACCCGGTATATATCGTTGGATTGAATTTTTTTCTTCTGCGTCGATTAGTCTGTATTTCATGATGATCTGAGCACTGTTTTGGCGCTAGCACTGCAAAAGTATGGTATTTATCATAAATATCATGTTTTGACAAATAGTTAATGGCGGCTGTACATTCTCGACGAGAGCACTCGTCACGCCTCTCGCGAGTCTCTCGCACGAGAAAGCGCTTTCACGAGTGTGACCTTGTACATTCTCGTTTATTCAGTTACGGTGAGGGACGGCGACGAGATGGATGCATGATTTGGACGGATGGATTTTTGTCTATGTGGTAACGATGCATGGGCTCCCACAAAATAGGTTCACTTTGATAAATTCAAGAATATTGAGTTTGCTCTCTTGGTTCCACATGATAAGTTTGTGGTAGTAGGATAACCAAATATACTGCACGCGAAAACGTCTTGCGGTAGACTAAACGAAGCGCGAGTGTACAGTGACGCACTGGTGTCCACTCGCGAGGGAATGCGAGGCCCTTTGAATCGCGCACCAAAAACCGACACGAGCGCGAGAGCACGCGGGGCGAGGCGAGGGAAGGCAAGGCTCAGCGAAAGTATCCTGTACACTCTCGTCTTCGCCTTGCCTCGTAGGCCCTCGTCGAGAGTGTACAGCCGCCATAATACAAGTTAAGATTAATTTTTAGATTTTGCTTTACGTAGAAATTGATGCGCATTTGGATGCGCGTTTGTATATTTTGTCTTCGCAGTTTCTTCAGAGGGAACGGTTTTAGTAACTTTTTGTTTTACATATATAAGTATTTCAGTGTCTATTTAGAGTGTTTTATATTAAATGAAATTCAAAATCTATATAAGTATGTCAATTTAATTTCTTCGAAAATTGTGCCAAATAAGAGGTTACTTAATACATAATTATTATTGTAGATTATTAATAAAATTGTGTTTCGTGACTTTTGCCACATGTTTGCTACAAGTAACCAAGTTTTAAAACTGTCATGTCAATTTTTTATTATTATTTTTCAAAAGTGCTTACTAAGTAAGCTGTATTTATTTTGTTTTTTTCTTTCTTCAACCAATACAGTAAAAATATTCAATCGAACTCGAATTTTAGTATTGTTATTTATTTTGTTTGCTGCCAGTATAATTCTTCGCACAAATAGGTACTGTCTATGTCCGATAAGAAAAAAATATTTAAATTTATATCATAATGTCTTTCACATATGTCTTTTTGAAATAACAATGGTACCAATTTTTAATACTTTACATCGCTTTTCCGTACGGTCTTGTGACACGTTATAGTGTTTAAGTACTATTATCTTGAGACCGTTATCAATCCGTAATGCGTGTTAGTAATTTTTCCTTTCATTCATTGGTAAGCACGTTAGTTGTTAGCATTTAAATAAATATATAATGGAGATAAGTAGTTTCTCCTTACGAAGTGTACATAGCAAGTGTACTAAATTGACAGTTATCTTATGGATTACAAGGAATATGCAGGATATCTCAATTCCAGTACGTAGATAATAGGGTCACGATTTTTTTTCTTTCATTGTATCTCAATTTCTTAATAAGAAAAAAAGTTAAGCCCGGTTTTGTAAAAAAGAACTTAAAATGGCCCTACTGTAAAATGCTCTTTTGGCGTTTTAGTATTTGGCTTTTCAATGACGATATGTACTATGTAAATTAGATTAGATATAACAGTTTACTAACTTGCAAGGTAGATCCGGCATGGGCTCGCCGAATGCGATAACCGGCAACGTGTCGGTGATCTCTATATAGCGTGCATCCGCAAGGGGCCGGGGCCATACAGAGAACACCGCAGGTCGCGTCGCCCAGCTCGCGCGTTGTCTTTGCCGGAGTCGCTCCACGTGCCTTTGTTCCCGGACCCGACGCATGTGCCACCTGTGTTGAACGCCGTACACTCAATTATAGCCCACTCGACTTAATGACGGCTTCCACGACTGTTTTGGCCACCAGGGCGGCGTCACTTAAGTACGAGGTGAAATATTTAACAAACAGCGAGAAATTTAATTTGTTAGGAAAATGTAAGGGTTTATATTTATTTTTGTAATATTTAATATATATTAATTGGATTATAAATGAATAAACGAAACTAAACATATTCCATAAAGACGAAAAATAAAAAGATTTTAAACGCAAATTCTCACTTATATATCACACTGTAACAAAAAACTTCACCTCAGTCCCGGCTAGCGACATCTGGTGAACGAAAGGTTATTTTAGCCCTCATTGACCGTGCAGTGACGGTGTAAGAATATCCACTAGCCCACATCGACCCGTGGGTGTCGTAAGAGGGGGCAGAGGGAGACTGAAACATGAGATGGGCAGCAGCATCTTCATTATAATTCCACATAATAAGAACTGTGATTGCCAACCCACGTGCCAAGTAGGACAAAAATGCACCCTAAAATCCACCCAAGGTTCTCGAGTGGCAGCCTCGTACCGGCAGAAGTGTAGGCGTCCCCCCACTAGATGGAGTGACGACCTGGTAAGACATGCAGGAAGTCGATGGATGCAGGTGGCTCAGGACCGTGCTTTGTGGTCTTCCTTGGGGGAGGCCTATGTTCAGCAGTGGATTTGAGAAGGACTGTAATGATGATGATGAATACGCCAACCACAGATATGGTTTTACTGTTTTCTTGCAATCTTATCTATCTAAAGGTTGTCTGGAAGAGATCGATCATAGTGATAAGACCGCCCATTGTACCACATTACTTGCTCTCCTTTTTTTATTAATATTTGTATTTTTTTTGGTATGCAATAGTGTTATCCATCTATCTATCTGTATGTATGTATTATCTCATCTCTCTCTCTCTCTCTCTCAAGTGATCATTGAAAAATGCACAACTCTTTCGAACGATCTGTCAAAAATTATTCATTTGGCAACATTTTAAAATTCTTTGACGACAATCTCCTACTCTGTGCGACCGTCCGACTATAGACTATTATGTGTTTGACTGTTAATACTGACAGAATGAACGTAAGCAACGAACGTTCTATTTTATTTAATGTTAATTACAATACAATATGTATATAGTATACAAATTTTAGCTTTCTGCACTCATCCTGCATATAACCTTTAATTAACCCAAATCTCATACCTCTCCGTGCGTGCAATTATAAAAAAAAACGTACAGAGTTTTTCTACACATACCAATATATTGTTAAAAACGACGGTAGAAAATAATAGAAAATACGAAAAAGTGGCGTGTAGAACTGTAATCTACTCTTTCTAGCGATATAGTATTGCGCACGTTACTAAGAGGAACAGTCAATAATCCTACGAGTCTCACTGCCGTTATTATGTCCTTTGGGATAATTAATACAATTGTTAAATGTACAGAAAGTTATATTGCGGAGACGCTGTCCTGTATCACATGATAGGCGGGCAGAATTGCTGTTGGTTTGCACACTTCATCTATTTTAATGTTTATCTTGTATTTAATTCCAACTGCTAACTGTTACACACTTATGTTCCATTTGTGATATAACAAAAAGCTGTTACGGAGTTATATTCTTCTTATTTAAATAATTTTGAGAGTAATTTCTAACACGGAATAATTTCTTATAATATAGTTTACCTGAGCTGTCGTCGTTCCTCAGCCTCAAGCTTTTGGTGACGTTTTTCGAAAACACGGTCGTCGACGTTCTCGGTGCCCTCCATCGTGTAACAGCTCGTATATGGCTTCTCCCTCCATCGCGGCACCTGTGAACGTTCAATTAAAAAAAATAGAAATCTTCAGACAAATTTAAACTATATGACTTAACTATGACGGTAGTAAATACTATTTTGCAAGGGTTTTATTATTATAATATCATATTTTATAACACAGATAGATGTCCAAACACTCAAACGCTACTCAATTTTAAGATGAAGTTAAGTTGCGTACTGTCTCTGTAACGACTACGACGACGAGTAGCATTTCAGTATTTGACCAAGAAGCACACTCACTTGTTTCCTAACTACCGCTAAGCGATAAATAGTGAGTAGGTACAATAAATTTAAATGAAACGGCCACAATCGCAACACATTAAAGCCGGTAATTAATATCTGTACATCGTACCGCCCGCCAATAGTGGCAACAATACCAAATATTGGGTAGTGTATTATTATAAAATATCACCGACTTCCCCCCTCTATGAGGAATTATATGGACCCATAGGGATTGTACTAAATTAATAAAATATAAAAACGCATTATTAAGCTATTGCATAGCTTTTATCGCGGGCTTTGAGCGCGGCGACCGAATCAAGAAATTCCGTAACGGATATAAACCTAAGACCCCAAAACCTAACATCGTCTAACGTCGTTTAAGTTCGGCACACTTCGGCACGGTGTTTGTGTGCGTGCTACTAGACGTATGCGTATAGACTAGTTGCATGTATTGTAAGATAAAAATATTTTAAACAATAATATAGTTTGTTGAAAGAAGCATATTCTTTGGATTTATATGAGTCGTCGTCATGCTAGCAACTTTCGTGAATTTAGAGTATTTAATGAACACAGACTTTATAGAAAATTATCGTTTGTCGGAAGAACTCATTAATTACCATAAACCTATAGTTTCAATGATAAATATTCCCGAATAACCTACATCTATTGTAAGATAATAAAAATATTTTAAACAATATTAACTTCTCATTTATTCAATAAAAAAAATTGTTTTCTTATCGGTCACCACGCTCAAAAAGTGTAACTTGAATTAATATCAAAGCAAAATCTTGAATTAATATAAAAAAAAAACAAATTAAAAAACTGCATAAATAAAATAAATAAATAATTATAATTGCATAAGTTGATAAAAATGCTATGCAATAGCTTTACCGCGGCAGTCCCCGAGTGCCACACGTATTTTTATGTAGCCGTGTAGTGGTAAGAATACTTCACATCGTCCGCCCACCTCATATCGTCCCGTGCGTACAGGCGACAGGCGACAGAGAGAAACGAACCAAATGTTTACCAACCCCACCTTTTCTCGTTCAATAAATAAAAAATCGAACCGTACGCCAATATGGCAACAGTGGAAATCATTGGGCAATGTATTATAGCAGAATATAAGGCCTTATTGGGCAATCAATAAAGGAGCCCTACATATGTTCAGCAGTGAATGAATATATAAAATATTAAAACATACCAGTTATGCGAGTTATTGTGAAATAAATTCTATAAAAAACATAACATTCTACTTGTTTAGTCATAAACTGTCTCCAGACATTTTGGACTTGTACAACCCTTTCAACAAGAATTCACATAACCCGTGTGATGGTTTTGCAATCTGTCAGTTCTTTTGCACAAGTTTTTCTACAAGCCATAAATACTCGATGGGTTTTATTAATAACGCGTTACATCAGTGATAGAAAAATTGTATAAAAATAACTATTTAAAAAGTCGAAGCGTTAGGTGTTTGGCAGCAAATCAAAAGGGGAAAGATTTACCTCGACGGTGGAGAGTTTACAATCGGCGGGCGGGTCGACATCCTCGGCCTTGAGATCGGGGTCCAGGCCCAGGTACCAAGAGAGATCCGGGTCTCCCATTTGCGTGTGATACGGCCTCCGGGTCATCATTCCCGGCACCGGCGACCTCTTCCCGCGGCACGCGGCTGTCAAGTACGTTGTTTGTAAAATATGTTCAAACCTGTTTCATGTTACAGAACAAGCAGAAACCACAAAGGGAAACACGTGCGAAACACAGAGGGATGCTGTATTGTATTTCGTATAGAACATCTCATTAGCAAGTGGCTGATCGAGTGCAAAGTAACAACAGATTGCATTGCCACACTACAACAATCAATATTTATTTCCTCTAACTTTTATATTAATGTCAAAGACTGCCCGTCATAAATGTTAAATTTAGGCCGTTTAAGAGTATATATAAACAAACTGAACACATCCTATTTCATCCCCGCGGGGGAGTGAATTTTCCAAAATTCTTTCTTAGTGGATCGCTACGTCGAGAAAGGAGCATATATGCTAAATTTCAAGTCAATCGAGCGTAGTTTTGGGGATCGTGATCGAATCAGTGTATTTATTTTATATATTATAGATTAATTACCTCTTCCTCTAGCTAGCTTTGGTTTCTGCGGAGGTTTCAGTTTAGGTACTTTAGCGAGTCCTGTCGTGGAGTGTGCCCGTTTTCGTCCACGCTTGCTTTCCCCTACACGTTTGACAGGGGGTCCTAGAACTTCTAGAGGCATGGACCCTGAGGTGCCTTCACCGGGAGGTGGAATCTGCAAACAATACATGATTGCATTTAATCATATAAATGTATCAATGTATACTCGCCCTAACAATGGGGCATAGGACCTTTCTCATCAGGAGAGGTTAGTTCCAACGGAGAAAACTACCCCTGAAAATAAGGTGATCGCTATCATGATGTTTCTAAACATTTTCTTATCCAGCATATTATATTGTAAATTATTGCTAGTTCTTTCGAGAACAGAAGTTTTTGGTTGAACCAATGGTAAATAATTATTCTATTCTAAGCCAGTTCTTTATTACAATCCAACTTAAGGGTAAACAGTTATAAGCTTATTCACTCCTGCCCTGAAGGCACTCGAACCGCAATAAGGGCTAATAATGTTACACTCGCTAGATGTCGCTAGTTGTGTATCGATAATGTGGCAAAATAAAGTCGTAGATGATTGGAGTGATAGACGTAAACCGGGAGATTATTCCACTCCTTGGCTGTTGGCGTTAGGTCCTTGTCTTTCCTAAAGCGAATCGTATTGTTCGAAAGTGTTAACATCGACAAAAAGGGATATATTCAATAATAGAAATTGTTCGGATTAATCCCAGACAAATTTCGTGAACGCACTACGCGGTAAATGTCCCGATACCATCCACACCATCTGGCTGCTTGGCGGTCCACCACTGTACGTTTCAAAAGGAGTTTTCTTCCGTTTATGACCTCTCTGTGGAATCGTTTACCACCGCGATTTTTTCCGACCGATACGACCTGGCCTCTGACCAATTCCCCTGGTGTTGCGGTTGATCATGGGCGGCGGCAGTCACTTAACATCAGGTGAGCGGCATGCTCGTTTGCCCCCTCTTCTATAAAAAATAGCCTGGTTGGCCGATAGCGTAAAAAGGAGGGAGGAATTTTGACATGTAATTCCTGCGCACATTCTCCTTGTGTATATAGCATAATAAACATAGCAAATATTTCTTCTGGAATCGAGGCATTCCATATTTGTTCTTAGGGGTGACAACGCATCTGCATTTAGAGTCTTAATCGAGGATGGACCTTCAGGTTGACCGTGCGCTTGTTGGTCACCATTATTCTTAAAAATTTATTAGCCGCTGTAGTCAGCTGAAAATTGAAAATTGGAAAGCAATGGTGTGGTACTATTGCTAACTTTCCTAGTTTCGAGAGGAACTGCGTTTCAAAGGAGAATTGATCGAACAGAAAAGGAGATGGCCAAAGCTAGAGGTACGTTGCAACATTGATTATTGAGCATATTACGCGGAAGGGCCATGCTGAAGCTATATTAATTGTATAGTTGTAGCACGAATGGGTCGGCTCGACCGGGAAAGGACCACGCTCTCACGGAATACCAACGTGAAATAGTAGCTTAATGCTGATGTGTTTCTTATGGTGAGTGTAGAGAAGCGGTGACCCTTTTTACTGAATAAGAGGCTTTCCTTCTTAGTCCTCAAGGCTGACATCGCATCTTAATTTTGATTAGCAAACGAGGATAGATGTAGATGTCTATGGGCCACAGCGACCACTTACCATCAGGTGGACTGTGTGCTCGCTTGTCACCCTTTTCCTATAAAAAAAAACATATGTAGGAATGGGGATGAATTACGGCGCTGACTGATAGGAAACCGCTTTAGTTTAGTACAATAAGAATAATCACACAGAAGTGAGAGTTTACATGGGCAATAACAGTATAACTCCACAAACTCAGTCACCCAGCGAGTATTGGAAACAGCTAGACACGTTTCTCTGGTGGATAGAATTGTAATGAAGAAATCCGTCAAAAGACTATAATCACTGACATATTACATGTGGCAGAATCAAGCTGCAGCTATATATTGGATGTAGCACAATTGGGTCGACTCGACAGGGGAAGGACAACACTCTCACAGAAATACCAGCTTAATGCTGCTGTGTTTCATATGGTGAGTGTAGAGAACCGGAGAACCTTTTTACTGAAAACGAGGCTTTTCATGTAAGCCCTCAGTGGTGAAATTATGGAGGAAAAATTTAGATGTGTATGGGACCTAGCATCGCCTAATCACCAAGTGCAAGGTACATGCAAGCTGAAGTGGCAATGAGCTTGATACATCTGTTGCAAAAGTTCTAACATAACATGGTGACTGCGCTTAGGTAAACGCAGGGATCCCGACTAAATGAAAGGTTGGTCAACGATCGCGCTACTTTAGTATGAGGTAAAATATTTGAAAGGTTTCATACAGGGAAAATTAATTTGGTAGAAAAGTGTAGAGATTAATGTTTCTATCTGGAATATTACTTATATTTTTATTTTAATTAGATTAGATGGATAGAATGAATAACCCAAACTATGGTTATACCTAAAACTAAAAAAATTAAAAAAAAAAAAAGAGTTTAAAACGTGTAAAAAATATACATGCAGCACTTAGGCCTTATTTTGTGAATGTTCATAATAATGGAAACACAACGTTGACACTATGTGACCAACTAGCGACATCTAGCGGGCGTAATAATATTTGCCCTCATTAATAAAATATACATAAAAATATAGTAACTTACGTCCGGAGCACCCATCAGACTGGTGGCCCTAGCTCCTCTCTTCTTAGTCTTCTCCGTCGTGGCTTTGTTCTCTGTAGCTGTGTGGTACTCGACCGTGTTCAGGTTATCCAGGTTCAGAGCATCAGTAGAGAACAACTCTTGGAACTCCACAGAGTCGAGCGAGGGCAGTATATGCGAGGCAAGATTGTTTGGGTTCTCTCCATATGAGAAATCGCACAGACTTGTCTCCTTCCCGGGTTTACTGGTTCCGTAAGTCCGCCAGTCGATCTCCGGCTCTGTCTTAACAATGTCCAGGTCTGGTTCCTCCACTATTACAGTTTTTGGCTCCTTCTTTATGTTTGGTATGTATGTACTTGAGAGGTTATACCTGGAAGCCGTGACATATTTAAAATACAAAGTCTATGGTTTATTAATTTGTTATAAAAAAAGGGTGACAAACGAGCACACAGACTATCTAATGGTAAGTAGAGACCTATAGACATTGAAATCTTCGTCGATTAAGAATCAAAATGCAGATGCGTTGTAATTCCTAAGGATTAAGATGGAATGCGTCATTGCCAGTAAAAAGGGTCTCGAGTTCTCTACACTCACTACATGAAACAGCAGCATTAAGATGTAATTTCAAGCTGGAAATGTGAGAGCGTGGGCTGTCCCGGTCGAAGCGACACATTCGTGCTATAAACATAATGTACTACACCAAAAACTACCACATATCAATTATTGTATAATTGCATTTAAAGGTATTATACCACTAATTACAAAAGGGTTGAGGGTTGGCTCAAATATTTTTTTTTATATAAAGCCGATTTTTAAATTCTCAAATAAATAAACAACCAACATTCAACAGGGAGCAAACTATTAAATTATTCAAACATCCATATATTATTTGACAAATAATTCAACTCTACCTGAAGTTATTCCACAGATGTGTCATTCTATGACAGATGGCAATGAAGAAAACATTTTATTTTTGTATGATATTTATTTAAGTTTCGTTTATTACAATGTTATTGGTATGGATATTTTTGATAGAATTGATGACCTGGCAATGAGGGCATCCACTACTTTTTTGGCACCAGGTGCGGAATAAGGTTAAACATTAAACAGATTTCATAGTGAAGGACATTAATTTATTAGAAAAGTGTAGAGATTAATATTTCTCTCTGAAATATTAATTATATTTTATAGTAATTAGATTTAAAATGGATGAACCAAACTACGAACAACCCTAGAAGTAGATGTTGCGTCATAGCAGAAAAAGACGTGGACGCCCTCATCAAATCACAGTAGTTTGGAAACATGGTTTTTTCTTTAATTCCATAGCGATTATACTTGAATTTTACAAATACAAGTGGTAAAGTTGAAAATGTTGTACAACCGACTTCAACATAAATAAAATGTAATCATCATCCATGTAGTCGAAGTCAGTAAATACGTATTATTAAGGATAACTCAAAAACTAACTGGTCATATCTTAATCAAATCTATGTGAGAAGCACCAGCTTTGAAATAAATTTAGAAAAGTTTAAAATTCATTTAGAAAAGTTCTGAGCTAAGACACATTAGAAAATACGGTCGAATTTAGAAGCTCCATCTTGTTTTGAAGTCGGTTGTAAATAAGAATTTAACCCTCTTATGTTATTTATATAATTCGCGAGCAATAACTAGGAAGACATAACCTCACACTTAAACTGACAATTGATACTTGATAGTGACGTTTTTGCCCCAAAATCGTTATAATTTATGCTGCACTAACTTTTGTTTATGCAATATTTTTGTTAAACCCCTCAGAAGTTAGCGTTGATACAGTCCAATAAATTTGATGGGCATCTTTTATTCAGCAGTTATTCAGCATTTTTTTTGATATGTATATACTGTTTTATATATCAACATCATTACAGTCTTTCACAAATCTACGGCCTCCCCCAAGGAATGCCACAAAGCACGGTCCTGAGCCACCTGCATCCATCGACTTCCCGCATGTCTTATAAGCTTTCTTCTTTCCTTTTCGCTTCTATATATTTTTAGTACTGTATTTCGTTATCATGTTTTTAATAGTTCTTTATCCTAGTAATAATGGTACACAGTGCTGAGAAAGTTATTCGCATGTTGTATCCGCCTGTAATTATTTGCACATTTTAGTTCTAATCGCTTCATTGTATTTAATTAGCATGTAAGGAATGATATGATACAAATGTTGGTGGATCAATAAAAAAGCTCGTCACTCCATCTAGACTGCCACTCGAGAACCTTTCTTCCCCATCGGTAGTCGGTTCTTCGAGCTATATGGCCGGCCCAGTGCCACTTCAGCTTTTTAACCCTTTGGGCTATGTCGGTCTGGTTCTACTGCTAATATACATCATACACACATGCAAGTGTCAATAGTGAATCATCATTCATCATCATCATCAATACAGCCCTTCACAAGTCCGCTGCTGAACATAGCCTCCCCCAAGGTATAACACAAAGGCACAAAGCACAATAGTTAATGATGTAAAAGTATTGATGATATAAATCATATTTTTGAAGGAACCTGAACAAACCATTGACAGAATGTAAATTCTAAATTACGACCTACGATTTACTGTAGTTGAGATGTCAATGTAATTTGCATTACGCGAATAGATTTTTTTCTACAAATTTTACAAAATAATTGTGATAATTACTTCGATCAATCTCTCAAACAGTAAAAATCTCATTTTGCATGGTCGGGGAAAAAGTTTCTGGCTGGTTTTAATATCAATTTATATAGGACATTAGAAAAAGAAAATAAAATGTAAAAAACGCTTTCCCGCCATTTTTCAGTCATTTCTCTGTCCGCAAAATTAAGTTAATGTTTTTGACGTTTATGGACCTAATATATAATTGCCGCCACGAGCACACTTTTTATTGGTCGATATGACGTTGACCACGCTGACGCTCAACGTGATTGGTTCGTCAGCCGATTCTCGTAGTCTATTGGGTTCGCACGTATCATTCGACTACCGTACACTTGAGAGCAATTTTAGTGACAACTTTTTAATTAGTTTATTTGTTAATTGTAGTGTTACCTCGTTATTAATTGTTGTTTGTGTATTTCTTGTTTTTAACCGTTTTTGATATTTCTTGTTGTTAATTTTTTTTTGTTATAATTTGAGCATTCGGATTTTGGGCTAAATATTCAGAGTAGAAAGAGTTCGGTGTTAAATAGACAATCCTGACAAATGGTCTATTCAGTGTTTTGTTACATGAAATAATTAGGTATTGCAAAAAACATGATACGTTTATAAATTGACTGCTGAGGCGACTAATGTCTACGTAGCTACTGTACGGCGTATAGTTAAAGGAGTTACCGATTCAGAATTTCGAAAAATGCGAAAAATGTGAGCAAAAATATTCAATTATGAATTGAAATAACAACAGTACATAATAATTTTGGCCGACAGTGTACCTACGCTGGCTCAACCCCCACCATAGTTCATCTGTGCTCACCTTTCGTGTCGGCAACTATAGTGTGAGTAAGAGTAGCACGAAGTTGGTTCAAGCGTTTTCAGTCCGGGAACTTCGATGTCAAAGATGCAGCTCACTCTAGTCGCCTTCATACGAATAAAGTCGAGGTATTTTTTGTAAAAGTGGAGCAAGATCCGCTTATTAGTAGTCACGACATGAGCGAGGAATAGAGGATTAAACAAAAATAACAGTTTTGACCTATTGTACAAGTCTAACTGTACAAAAAAACTCGATATTTGGGTACCATACGAGCTCACTGAAAGAAACCTAATGAATTGTGTACTCATTTGCGATTCTCTATTGAAACGTAATAAAACCGAACGATTTTTTAAAAGATTGATAACTGGTGATAAAAATTAGATCATCTACGGCAAGAACGTGCGAAAAAGATCATGGTCAAAGGGTAGTCAAGCTCCACAGACTGTAGCGAAATCCGGATTAACACGGGTTGGGGTTGGCTATTGTTTGTTTCTTTGCCTACTTTTTTTTCTTTTCTTTTGTGTTGTCTTACGTGAAGGCGCTGCTGAATGTACGTAAAACTTTTTCCTATACATAGCTCTGTGATACAATAGTTCTTCGTCAGGCGATCACAATTTAATAAAAGTTCAAAAGGGCGCTTTTTGAAGTGTTTCTAATGGTTACCTAAAACTCGTATGCAATTTTTTTTCTTAATAAATAGTATTAGTATACGACTTTGTGCTCTTTCTCTGTCCTGTTCCTAGTTTTGGTTCTATAGGGCGGCAAAACTTAAGGTGACCATATTACCCCACGTACGTATTAAATGGCAAAAAGGCTTGTGTGTGAGTTCGAGTTTGAGTTATCATGGAAACAACAACAATACAACTGTAAAAAGCTATTTTATCATATGTCGCTCATGTATATGAGATAAAAAGCATTTCATTTATTAGACGTTGCAGCGAATAGTATATTCGGACACACGCGTTCTGCGGGCTTCCTGACAGAATAGTCGAATATTGTGCAAAAGGATTCGGTCGCGAAGGAAGTAGTGTTTATTCAAAGTGCTTTTTCTCTAAAGCGGAGATTAGAGGGAAAGGATTAAACCTAAAAATACAGGAAAAATAGTCTTTACGCACCTGAATCTTCCACTTCTAATTTTTAATTACGGTTATACAAGGGCATAGATGATGTATTGATAGTCTTTAATTAATTTTTATAATATGGAGGTTGATTATGTACCATCGACGAATGCTTTAATAATTACAAGAAAAATACACTATTATAAAATAAAACAATATTTTCATTTTATCAATTACCGAATCACAACAAAACATCTTACTTAAGTATTCGATTCGATGTGTTGGAATAGAATAAATTAGCCGAATATCGAACAATAGTCAAATATCCATTGCAAGTGTAGTAAATATACTTAGTTAAAAATGTTAATCATTTACACACGTTAAAGTTCAGAGCGTTATGCAATAAAATAAAGATATAATGAACTACCTGTTTGTATTCGTTCGAAACCAGTCGAATACAAACAGATAGTTAATTTAATCTTACCCGACTTAAAGTACAGTAATGATTGAGGATTGATCGAACCAAACAGGTCTCACAGATCACAAAGTACTGAAACCCGACGCAATCCATTTGAATGATCGACCCGAATGACACTGTCTGTATAACGAATCAATACTTGAACGATCGGGTCAATAGAAATGAACGATTGGTTTGGTAAAATTATTTTATATGTAAAAAAGCATACCTATCAATTTTTAAGTTGGCCTTTGTACTGGTTTCTGTTGCCGGCGCGTCGTAGATCCGTCGAGCAGTGTTCGTCATTCCCGCCTCGGAGCAAATCTTCATCCTCCCATGATTAGTTTTTTGCAGCATCAGCTTGGGTATCGGAGACTGTTCCCTCATGTCGGCCTCGCCCAACTGGTAAGGGTCTTCACCCGTAGGCGTGGTGTCGATCAGCTGAAGACGATCTGACAGGGAACCGGTAAAGTGGGTTGTTTTCTTAGCTGCCCCACCCCTTGCTTTGCCGTAGGTGCTGATCATTTTGGACTTTTTGTTTAGGCTGAATGTCCGTTCATATGCCTTGTCCTCATTAAACATTTTACCTGTAACAACAACGAATGTTAAGAATGTGGTAAAACCAGCTATATTATGGTTGTAGCACGAATGAGGTGGCTCGACCGGGGCAGGACCACGCTCCCACGGAATACAGTAGCTGTGGAAGTAGATTGAGCATATGGCACACAGCAGCATTATGCTGCTTAGTTCCACATGCTCAGTGTATAGAACCGGGACCTTTCTAAATGTCCTCAGGAGTGACAATGTTTCTGCATTTTTATTCTTCCATTACAGCCTATAATAGTCCACTGCTGAACATTGGACCTTCCCATAGACTGCCTCATAGGAAGGATTTTGCCAAAGTTGCCACGCAAGTCAAAGAAACAAATATTGGGTCCTTACATATAAAATTAGCGTTTTGTCGTACTGACCAATTTGATCTGAAATATCTCCTCTTTTGTTAAGAATTCCAAATTCAAATTTATAAATTCATTTAGCTGGTATATTTGAGTTTTGAAAACAATCATTCATTTGTTTTTTTCTCATTATTTTATCTTTGGTATCGATTATTACCGCAAATTAGAAAATATGAAATATCGGTATATTTACGAGTACGAGTTCTACCGTGGCACCAGTGCTGCAGAAACAGCTCGAAGGATTCATGATGTGTACGGCGCTGGTGTCGCAAAAGAAAGCACGGTACGTTTTTGGTCAACCCCGTAGACGGCCGGAGACCAAAATGGAAAATGAAGATTTAAAGGCTATTGTGGAAGCGGATCCATCACAAAGCACTTCAGAAATAGCTGCAGGCTTCGGGGTAAGTGATAAAACTGTATTAATCCACTTGAAGCAAACAGGAAAAGTAAAAAAACTATAACGATGGGTATCTTATGAATTGAGTGAACCTAGCTCGACTGCTGTGTTACTTTGCTCAGCCGACATAAAAATGAAGGGATTTTAAACCGAATCATTACTTGTGATGAAAAGTGGATACTGTACGATAATCGGAAGCACTCGTCGCAATGGCTGATTCCTGGAGACCCAACCAAATCCTGCCCTAAACGAAAATTGACTCAGAAAAAGTTAATTGTGTATGTTTGGTGGACTAGCGCCGGTGTCATTCACTACAGCTTTCTAAAATCTGGCCAAACGATTACGGCTTATATCTATTGTCAGCAACTGCAAACCATGAAGGAAGAACTAGCTGTTAAACAACCGAGATTGGTCAATCGCTCTAGGCCACTGCTGCTTCACGACAACGCAAGACCACGCACTGCACAACAACCACTAAGTTAGATTAGCTACAATTGGAATGTCTGCGACATCCACCGTACGAGGGGTGATCCAAAAGTAATGGTAATGAAAATAAAACACGGTAATTAAAGTTAAAATAACAATTTATTTTTCTACATAGTCTCCTAACAAATCAATACATTTAGTCCATCTTTTTTCTAAACCCAGGATTCCCTTTGAAAAAAAAATCTTTGTCTTGACCCTCCCAAAACGCTTCAACAGCGGCCATTACTTCGCTATCGTCTTCGAATTTCTTGCCTCGGAGGCGTTCCTTGAGCCGAGGAAAGAGGTAGAAGTCACTAGGAGCTAGATCTGGCGAATAGGGAGGGTGTTCGAGCAGTTCGAATCCCGTTTCTTGAATGGCAGCCATCGCAACTGCGGCTTTGTGAGCCGGTGCGTTGTCTTGGTGAAACAGCACTCCTTCTCGCAGTTTGCCGCGTCTTTTTTCCTTAATGGCCTCCCGTAATCTTCTTATTTGGTCTGCGTAGTAAGAGCCGTATAAATAAGAATAGTGGCTCCCTTTTCCAAATATTCCACCATAATTATGCTTTGAGCGTCCCAAAAAACAGATGCCATAACCTTTCCCGCCGAACTTGAAATTTTGAATTTCTTTGGCGTCGGTGAGGGGCTCGCTTCCAAGTCATCGATTGTTGTTTCGTTTCAGGATCAAAATGGTCTCGTCCATAGTCACAAAACGGACCAAAAAATTTTCTTGATCTGCTTGGGACTTTTCGAGATTGACCCTCGAAATGTCAACTCGATTTTTCCTTTGCTCGTCGGTTAACATTCTGGGTACCCAACGTGCAGAGACCTTTTTCATATGTAACTCGTACGCAAGGATTCTTTGAACGCTGTCATATGAGTTCCCTGTGACCTCAGCTACATGCCTGATGGTCATTCTTCGATCTACCAACACAACATCTTCGACTTTTTTCACGTTGTCTTCAGTGAGGGACGTGGATGGGCGTCCTTCGCGATGTTCATCTTCAGTGGATGTTCTGCCCAGTTTAAACTCCTTGGCCCAGCGTGCAACTGTAGAATATGGAGGAGCAGAGTCGCCCAATATTTCTACTAAGTTACTGTGTATGACTTTTGAAGACATTTTTTCGAACAGAGGTACTTGATGACAGCTCTAATTTCGTTTTTCTCCATGTTGATGTTATCTCTTTGACACTTACGACGTACGTATTCAAATGAATGTATCTCCCGGAAATCGTGATCTATTTATATGATTTTTTAGGCTGACGTAGTGAGTATATAAGCAAGCAAAAAATATTTTTTTTTTGGATTTTTATGCGGACCTGAAGTAACCGATTATCATTACTTTTGGATCACCCCTCGTACTCCCCGGATCTTGCTCCAACAGATTAGCATTTTTTCCGGAATTTGGACAATTTCTTACAAGGAAACAAATTCAACTCCGATGCGGCAATCCAAACCGCCTTCAAAGAGTTTATTGATTCTCGCCCCCATGTTTTTTTTTTTTTAGTAAAGAGATCAATGAACTACCTATGAGATGGCAAAAGTGCATAGATAACAACGGCGCATACTTTGATTAATTATATATATTATTCAAAATAAAAATTGACTTTATATTCCTCCCGTACAAAACGCCAATTTCAAATATAAGGACCGATTATAATATTTAATTTCATTTTATAACAATAATAATGTCCTCCAGACCGAATTTCGGCCAAGGCGGCCTTCCTCAACGGAGGCTAGCCATCGGCGCAGGACAGGATTTTAGTGCCCAAGTGTATGCGCAAGCACAGCTGCACTCTCTATTCCCTCACTCACATAATCCGATGGGACGGTAAACCGACACGACCGGATCAGGCGCAGGACCGACGGCTTTACGTGCTCTCCGAGTCACGGTGGTGAGACACCGCCAACTTTGTGACTCCCGACAGCTACTGAGAATTTCTTGACGGAAAAACTCAATAATTAATTTTTTGGCCCGACCCGGGATTCGAACCCAGGACCTCATGATTAGCAGTCCCACTACTACAACCACTCGATCAACGAGGCAATATAGCTATAAAGACTCCGTGACTTAACAACAAGGTCAGGGGGGTTTTCATGCTGGTCTACCTTTCCGGTGATCCTGTTATGGAATACGGGTACGCGACCCCGGCTCCCCGAGCTACTGTTATTCTCATACCTTTCCTGCCGAGATAACAGTATCCTTACACCTGCGCTCCTACCCCCAACCTTCTTTTTCCTTTTCCCAAAATGGTAGCTTCCTCTACCAACAATAGCATACCCAAAGAGGGTTGGTGTCAGGCAGGCGGCCGACTGTAAAACTTTTGCCAAATCCCATGCAGTAAACCTATGAATATTACGAGTTGTGGGATATATGACAGGGCTAGGGCGTACCCCGCAGGCGACGCGCAGGGGCAGCACCCGGCTCCTGTGGGAAGTGGGCAAGGGTTGTCGCACCTTACGGAGCGGGTGCGACGTAAGAGGCGAGCCCGGAGAGAGAAGAATGTCAGAGTGAGGTTTGCAAGCTGGAATGTAGGTACGATGACTGGAAGAGGAAGAGAGTTAGCAGATGTTTTGAAACGACGAAGAGTGAATGTTGCCTGTTTGCAGGAAACAAAATGGAAGGGCAATAAAGCAAGAGAGATTGGGGAAGGATACAAGTTTTATTATTGTGGAAGTGATGGGAAGCGAAATGGAGTAGGAGTTGTGTTAGATAGTGGAATGAAAGAACGAGTGACAGATGTGAAAAGAGTAAATGACAGAATGATAGTTGTTAAATTAATGATTGAAAATAAAGTAGTGAATGTTGTAAGTGTGTATGCTCCGCAAACAGGCTGTGAAGAGAGTGTGAAAGAGAAGTTTTGGGAGGAATTTGATTGTATGATGATGGGAATACCTGAGAGTGAGGATGTTTATATGGGAGGAGATTTTAATGGGCATGTAGGGAGAGTGAATGACGGGTATGAAAGAGTACACGGTGGATGGGGGTACGGAGTGCGGAACCGTGAGGGGGAAGTTCTACTGCAAGCAGCATGTGCTTAGTGATATGAGAATGAAAGGAGTAAGTATGGAAATGACGGCTGATAGAGAGGAATGGAACAAGAAGATTTACTGCGCCGACCCCAGATAATGGGAAATGGTTTAGAGAATGATGATGACTTAACAACAAGGTAATGTGTTGAGGGCCGCGGATTCGAATCCCGCACGGAACAAATATTTTGTATGACCCACAAATGTTCCGGGTGTGGATGTTTTTGTGATATCTTAATATATATAAATTACGTGTCACGTTGTTTGTCCGCGATGGAATCCTAAACTATTTAACCGATTTCAGTCAAATTTGCACACCGTGTGCGGTTTGGTCCAACTTGAGAGATAAGACAGTTTTTATGCCCATGAGTGACCCACAATTCTTTTTTTCGAAATTCTGTATTTTTAATAGGGCATGACAAAGGGTCGTCGAAAAGGCTAGAACAACGTCTGCCTGGCAAGCTAGTTTATGTATGTAAACTGCCTGTGTGTTGGGTAACTAAAATGAAAAAAAGAAAACAGCTGTATGACGAAATATCAGAATGTATACTTACTGCTCTCAGGTAGTTCTACTTTCACAGCGGGACTTTTAGACATCCGACTGAGGCTCCCAATCCCTGTGGACTCTCTCCGTTTGTTCCTCTGTATTCTTTGGATTACTGGATTCCCACTGCGATATGAAAACAATTTTTACATTACCAAAAAGAATAGAAAAAAAATTATAATAAAACAGTGATCCGCGACGGCTTCGCACGGGTGATTTCTGAATCTTGACAACAGCGTTAACTACCGAGTCCATTGAAGGCATCGACGACTTTTTCTGCCATCAGAGTGGAGCCACTTAAAAATGAGGTGTAATATTTGGCAGATTTCATAGTGGAGAAGTTAATTTTATTGTTTTATATTAATTAGTTTATAAATAAATAAATCAAACCAAAAAGATATTTTTTAGGATAGGGTGACAAACTGGTTAGGTGATGGTAAGTGGTTGTTGTGGCCCATAGACATCTACATCTATCCTCGATTACGAATCAAAATGCAGATGCGTTGTCACCAGTGAGGACTAAGATGGAATGCCTCGTTTCCAGTAAAAAAGGGTCTCCGGTTCTCTACACTCACCATACGAAACTCAGCAGCATTAAGCTACTATTTAACGCTGGTATTCTGTGAGAGCGTGATCCTTCCCCGGTCGAGACGACCCATTCGTGCTACAACTATACTACTAATATAACTGCTGCATGGCTCTACCACATATAAAATTTATAAAAGTAGAAAAATAAAAAGGGTAAAATAGGTGCAACAAATTAAATAGCAAACAACTGAGGCATTGTTTTGTTGTATTAATATGATACTCTAGAAAATGATAAACTTTCATTTAAAACTAACGTATCAATTCAATAATATTGTGTACAAAAATTCACCCCAGTGTCAACTAGCTCCACCTAGTGGACTGTAGCTATTAGCCCGCATTGTGAATCAAACTCAAACACTCGTACACACAAAAAAGTTCACCAAAATCGGTCATCAATTTATGAGGAGTTCAGTGACAAATTACACGTACACGAGAATTATATAAATAAAGATAACATGATAAAATTACTAATTTATATACTTATATTCACGTAAGCAAGCGCACACGCACGCACATTGTAACAAATGCGACAAAATTTTAGTTCACTTAGTTTATATTTTTCTTGTCATTTTGTGTCTTTATTAAAGGCTTTAAATTTTGCCACAAAACAAGCTAAGAATATAAGAGGATGGTATTTTGGTTTGAAAAACAAATAGAAACTTTTTTATTTAATATAGATTAGAAATAATAATTATTGAAAGTCACTCTTTTGTTTAATTACCACTCGTTTTTGGCAAAGAAAAAATCTCTGTCCTAAGAACCAGCAAAAAACACAGTGGGACTTTTAAAAAATAACAGCTTAGAATGATGTATGTTACACAATCACACAAGACAAAACAAATTAGAAATAGCTTGATAGCGATCACCTCATTCTTGTCGATTTTACTTAAAGCGCGTCACCAAACTGCCAAGATCCACATCCACAATGGATTCAAATAAATTCCTTGCCTTGCTACTTTACATTTATATAGCAGTCGATATGTTTGCTCTGACATTGAGACGTCTACAGTTCCACGAGCATCTTAGGTAGGTATATTTCAAATTACAATAGGAAGATAATAATTCACTTATACTTATCACATTGAAAATCTTCTGACTAAAATAGAGTACGTTAAACGCGTTTTAATTATACAAATAAAAGCTACTACTAGCTCAGAAGCTTCGCTGCAAATTGCACACAACGCGAACACCCTGGGTTCGATTCTAGTCGGCACATATGAAATTGTTATAAACCTGTACTTATTATAAGGAAGTACTTGATCACAACCTTACCTGGTGGTAAGTGGTGATGAAACCCTAGATGATAAATCGTATTGTCTTCTCAAAAAGGGAAGTCAACTATTTAACAAACTGTGGAACTTTATTTACTGATTTGGAATGTTTTGCGACGGACATCAGTTGATGGGCAGACCCTCGTCTGTCATTCAATCGGATGCACCAAATGGAGTTGAGCTTTAAATTTGGAGAAAACGTTAGTTTCCCTTTATTTCAATGCCACCAATTTTCAATTAATCATATATAATCTGTGCCAATTGTATGTCAGTAGTGCAGCAAAAGTGCGGAATAGTCAGTTAGGCCTGAGGATAGGCACCTTTTATATCATAATCGACTGGCTGTACTAAGTTAGGCTGTAGCCGAATTCCCAAAAAAAAAAACTACAACGTGATGCGTCAACATATTGCAAAATAATTTTATATGTAATAAAGTCTCCCAGATCTAATTTCTATCACGGTAGGACCGCGAAGACTAGGCACCTGCATTTTCATTTGCAGGACAGGATTAATATTGCCCGAGTATCTACAGATACTTCCTAACTAAAGCCAATTCGCTCTTGCCACGAAAACGCCCAAATTGTATGCAGTAAATAAAAATTCAGGAAAGACAAAGCAGTTTGGTTCTAATGCGTAGAATATAGACAATAAAGGGGTGAAAAGCCGCCAACCGCCTAGTTGTACGATTGCAGAAAGGGAAGGCAGGATTTAAAACATGCAAATCCTATGTATTGTATGTCCTAAACATTGAATAAATTGAAGACATGAAGTCCGCCAACACTAATGACTGAATGGAAGAGAAGAAGAGAAACTATTTGAATTCTTTACAGTCTTTTTTAAAAGTCCAAAAGCTAAACATAAGTCCTATTGATTAAACTCTGTCTACGATATATTAGATTATAGATCGGATCAAAAAATTATATTGAAGAGTTGAAAGTAGCCAGGCTAATTACGACATCGGGACGTCAAACACCTTAGTTCCCTGACCATGGGTGGTGTAAAGCGCCCGAAAAGTGGGAAACTTAAAATATTTAAATAAAATTAAACGCGATTAAAATTCGTAGAATTTGTGTTTTAATCGAGTTCAAAAAAAAAGGAGGAGGAACTCAATAAGACTGAACTTTTTTACGTGAACCGATTTTGATGATTCTTTTTTTATTTGAAAGCTGATGATTTTTTGTGGTCCCATAATAATTTGATCAAGATCTGACCAGTAGTTTTTGAGTTATCCTTAATAATGCGTATTTAATTAACTTCGACTACATTTAAGTTGTCTTGCCTTCAATGATGTAAATCATGATATACTAATTGGTGTACTGCGTTCTCCTAACATATCTCCAACTGCAATTGCCTGGTTTCGTAGTTACTTATATGAACGTCGCCAACGTTTTCGGGTACAAGACAGAATGTCTTCGTGTCTTGATACCGTTGCTGGCGTTCCACAAGGTGGCCTTTTATCTCCTCTCTTATTTGCACTCTTCATAAATTCTATTACCTCCAGAATATCTTCTCTCTACCACTTGTATGCTGATGATCTCCAGATATATCTACAAACAACCGTAGAGGATCTGCCAAAAGCAATTTGTGATATAAACAAGGACCTAGCGTGTATTCTTGACTGGAGTCGATCTTATGGGTTAACTGTTAATCCGATAAAATCCCAAGCTATTATTATTGGTAGTTCAAGAATAATCTCCAAATTAAATAAAACTCATTAAACCCTATAACATTTAATGGTGTTCAAATTTCTTATAAGGATTAGTGAAAAACTTGGGAATCTTGATAGATTTATTTTAATGACCTTTCTTGGTTTCCTCAAATCAACGCAGTGTCTCGTAAAATGTTTTCAGCTTATGGTTCACTCCGAAGAATGAATTACTTCTTACCCATCTCCACCAAAATTATGCTTGCCCAATCTTTACTGCTCCCCATTCTCGATTATGCTGACATAAGCTATCTAGACATTACCGAAGAGCAACTTAACAAACTTGAGCGACTCCAAAATCTATGTATAAGGTTCATATTTGGACTTCGTAAATATGACCATGTATCAGAATACCGCACTAAGCTTAAGTGGCTTCCAATCCGTCTTCGTCGGAATACTCATATCCTTTCTGCTCTCTAGTGCGTTTTATTTAATATATCAAGTCCTCCCTACCTTAAAGAACGTTTCCAATTTCTCAGCTCCTCTCACAAACTTTCTCTTCGATGCTTAGAAAACCTTTCCCTTCTATGTCCCTTGCACTCTTCTACATTTTACAGTAAATCTTTTTCAGTTCTTGGAGTTAAACTTTGGAATTCCTTACCATCAACTATAAAACGTGCTCAAACAATAGACTCCTTTAAAAACCAAGTTAAAAAACATTATCTTTCCTTCTAAATCATCCCTTCTCCTTTTATCTATTCCTGTCGTTTTATGATCACTGGTCAATTAAGTAAATTCCGGCATGTTTATTAAATTTCTTTTAAATTTATAGATTATAATATTATTTATAGTGCACTCTACCCTTTGCTTAACTTTTCACTTATTTTTATTTCCTGTTTAGGTTGTCTCGAAGAAATTGCTGCATAGCAATAAGACCGCCTTTTGTTTTTCTATTTGTTTGTTTCTTGCTATGTTGTTTTTTTAGTGTTCAATAAAGGGTATTGTATTGTATTGCATTAAGTTATTCTTATTTTATTTATATTGAAGTCCGGTGTACAACATTTTTGATTATACCACTTGTATTCGATATTTTTGTCGAATGTTTATCAGAAAAATGCCGCCGCTCATCTGCTGTTTGTATTTCCTTTTGTAGTCTCTTAAGGGATCTCTCATGGGATGATATGGGGTAGTGGATAATCTTACGCTGCCACTACGTGGCAATTTGCTCTACAATCCTTACAATATAATAATAATAATCTTTATTGACATAAAATTTGTTACATTTAAGCCTCTGATTTGATATATTTAAGCCTCTGACTCCCGAGTTAGGTTAGAAAACCTGTTACAACAGTCAATGATCTCCCTAATATAATGACAGCTAATTATTTTATATAAATAAAGTAATTTTAAAATCTGTGTGTGTGTGTGTGTGTGTGTGTGTGTGTGTGTGTGTGTGTGTGTGTGTGTGTTGTGTGTGTGTGTGTGTGTGTGTGTGTGCGTGTGTGCATGTGCGTGTGCGTGCATGTGTGCGTGCGTGTGTGTTTGCTTGGGCTGGGTGTGTGTGTAGGCAAGTGCGTGGGTGAGTACGCGTGAGTTGGCGTGCGTGTGTTTTGTGGTATCCCTTGGGGGTTATGTTCAACAGTGGACTTCTGAGGGTCTGTAATAACGACGATGACCATATATCTTCTTCTATTTCTACAACTCGTAAGAGTCCATTGCTTTACATGGGCTTTTCCCATTAGGAGCATTATTCTTAACGTCATACTTGGCAGGTGGTTCGAAGATAGCAATATCAGCCCCTTGCTTATAGTTGCCATACTTGAGTTGCTGTCAGGAAGACACTGCTACTCATCTCCTATTAAGTTTACCTCTGTCGCCTTTTACAACACCCACGGGATTATATGACGATATAGGATATCCTTGCACCGCCTCCGTTCTGGTTTAAATAAGATGGTTATAGCGCCATCTATCGGAGACCATGAGAACTTTAGATGTTTCCTACAATCACCTCTTACGACACCAAGGGGGCGAAATGCGGTAATTAATTCCTTATTTGCTTGTTCATATTTTATGCATACCGTTCATCAGATTGCGGTTAAACTTTGTCAATACATTGCTTGCACTTCCGTGAAATTTATGGGCATACTCGGACCCGGTAGGTGGCGCCGTTGTAGAATCCAGATATCACCCGTGCAAAGTCGGAGCAAATCGCTAGTATTTCGTAAAATTCATTTCATGAATTCTCTTTTACGAAACAGTACGCTGAAGTGGCAATGGGCCGGCCATAGAGCTCGAAGAACCGACAACTGATATGGAAGAAAGGTTCTCGAGTGGCAGACTCGTACTGGTAGGCGAAGTGTAGAGCGACCCTCCACTAGATGGAGTGACGACCTGGTAAGACATGCAGGAAGTCGATGGTTGCAGGTGGCTTAGGACCATGCTTTGTCACATTCCTTGGGACGCTTATTTTCATTAGTGGACTTCCGAATGACTGCAACCATCATCATTAGAGCCCTTTACAAGTCCACTGCTGAATATAGGCCTCCCCAAGGTATGCCACAAAGCACGGTGCTGAGCCACCTGCTTCCATCGACTTCCTGCATGTCTTCCAGGTCGTCACCCCATCTAGTGGGGGGTCGCTCTACACTTCGCCTACCAGTACGAGTTTGCCACTCGAGAACCTTTTTTCCCCATCGGTTGTCGATTCTTCGAGCTATATGGCCGGCCTATTGCCACTTAAATTTACTAATCCGTTGGGTTATGTCGTTCACTTTGGTTCTACTGCGGATATCCTCGTTTCTAAGTTTATCACACAGAGAAACCCCGAGCATAGCCCTCTCCATAGCTCGCTGAGCGACTTTGAGCGTCTTCATATGGCCAGCAGTGAAGGACCACGTCTCAGTTCCATAGGTCATCACTGGCAACACGCACTGGTTGTATAGTCTCGTTTTCAGGTTTTGAGGTATACCTGACGAGAGGATGTGTCGTTATTTCCCGAACGCTGCTCAGCCGAGTTGAATCCGTCGATTGACCTCTCGGTCGAAGTTATATGTCCCAGGTAAACATACTCGTCAACAACTTCGAGCTTAGCGCTCCCAATAACTACCGGCATAGGTGTGACATGTACATTAAACATGATCTTTGTTTTGTCCATGTTCATCTTAAGACCCATCCGTTGGGAGACACTATTGAGGTCATTGAGCATAGTCCTTCAGCGATTCTGCCATAAAGACTATATCGTCGGCAAATCGAAGGCGAGTGATGTACTCGCCATTGATGTTAATACCGTATCCCGTCACCCTGTCTTACACCTTTCTAGTTGGATAGGTTTCGTACTCTGTTTCTGTACTCGGATAGCCATCGTAGCCCTACTGTACAAACACTTCAGCACGTCGATATACCGACAGTCCACTTGGCACCGCTGAAGGGACTCAGCATCGCCCAAATTTCGACGGAATCAAAGGCTTTCTTATAATCCACATACGCCAGTCAAAGTGGCAGATTGAACTCTTCGGACTTCTGTACAATTTTCCGAAGAGTATGTATGTGGTCTATGGTGCTAAAGCCTTTTCGAAAACCGGCTTGTTCGGGAGGCTGGAAGTCGTCGAGTCTGCGTGCGAGACGATTCGTAATGACTTTCGAAAACAGCACGTAGACGCGGCTCAAAACGACGCCACCATTGAGGACGGAATTAAAAAGCTTCCGAAGGACGTCAAGTACCGCTTTTCCACTAGCTTTCAGAATCTCCGCTGTAATTCCATCCTCGTCCGGAGACTTGCCGTTTTTAAGGTGCTGGAGAGCCATTCTAATCTCGCTCAGACTGACGTCCGGGATATCATCGGAATAAAGTCGGATAAGACTTGCTCTTGGATCGCTACTCACATTTGCGTGTGGCTCCGACGATGACGTGTACTGCTGTGTGCTGTGGCTGCTGTAGCTGCCCATAAAACCCCGCAATCTCACTCAAAATCTCAGGTGTCGCGGAAACGATGCTGCCACACTCGGTCTTCAGCTTCGACAGTTGGCTCTTTCTGACAAACAGATCCCTGGAAGACTTTGGAGCCTTGGTTCCGCTCGATCGCTTCTTCAATACGAGCTGTACTGAAGTTGCGAAGTCCATCCGCATGCGTTTAGAGATCTGTATGTTCAGTTGCCTGTATGCTGCTAAATCTGCTGAAGACTGCAGCTTCATTTCCTGTCTAACAGCCATGAGATTAAGAGTGTGATCGGAGTTTTTGTGTTCTTCTGCGGCAGTTCTTGCAGAACTTAGCTCCGACTGCATGTTCCACGAGCAGTTTCCACGAGCTGGTCATTCATATCGTCCACTACATTGCAATCTTCTAGGCACTGAAAACGGTTTTGTAACTCGAGCTGAGTGGTTTCGGGACTTTGGATTAGATCACGAGGGGGACGGAGCGTTGACTTCATTAGATGAGACATCTTCAACTCAACGTGTAGGTTCGCGATCACTGAGACATTACTGAACAGTTGGCGTCTGGTCGTCATAAAGAAGTCAATCTCATTTTTTGTCGAACTGTTGGGGCTCGACCAGGTCCACTTCCTGTGGGGCCGCTTCTGGAAGAAAGAGTTCATCATAAAGAGTCCCTCTTTCTCCATAAAGTCGGCCAGCTGCTGGCCACTACAGTTCCGTTGCCCTACTCTAAACTTCCGTAACTTCAGCTCACCGCTTTCTCCTGTGCCTAGTTTTGCGTTGAAGTCTCCCATCAACACCTTATAGCGGGTTTTGGAGGAATGCATGGCTCTAGAGATATCCTCATACATTTCCTCTATCTCCTCATCGGTATGTGCCGAGGTTGGTGAGTAAACCTGTATGACCTACAGTGAATACCGTTTGGTGATTCTGAGTATTCGGTACGCGACCCTCGTCGACATACTCTAAATCTTTTTTACAACATTGTTGATGAGAGACTTGTGGACGATAAATCCGACACCTCCTTGGGACAGATGGTCGCCCCCCCCCCCCCCGGCTGATAGAACAAGTTGCCAGATTCGAGGATTACCGTGTCTCCCCCTCTCTTCGGACCTCGGATCCTATCATATGCCAGCGCAACTTGTCTACCTCTTCTTACACCTCCAGTATCTTCTCGTCAGTCCTCAGGGTGCGTGAGTTATACGTTGCCAGGTCGAGTCGTCGTAGGTGGAAACCAAAAAGCAAAAAGAACTGTAATGATGATGATGAATAAATTCTCTTAGTCACTTCGCCATTTCATGACTGGATCATATTACTCCTTTAATTTTTGATCAATCTATATTTACTTACTCACCTGCTTGACGTGACCGTGTAAAGTGCCTCCTGTCTGGGCTCACTCTTGACCTCCTTCTTGACATAGGACCGCTTGCTCTCAATCATGGTGAACTTGTCACGGTCTAACTTGCTGTGCAATATCGAAGCTCCCACATCCGTCGGGATGAAGGTAGTCACATCTGCGGATCACTTTGCAATCAGTATATTAATGATGTCAGCAGTTCGAAAAGAAACCGTGTTTCGTTGGTATAAGGTCGAATATCGAATTAATTTTTGTACACATCATATGTGCCCTGTTTACTTTAATATGAGATTTTTTGTAAAAATAAAAACAGAGTTTCTTATAATTTTCGATTCGACTAGTAATTGCTTTAACTATGTCTGAGAAATTGTAAAAAAAATACTATAAGTATATTGTATAATCATAAATTATAATCTTTATATATTAATTTCATTATCCATTGCATGTTTCGACGCGGTAGAGCCATACTGCAGCTATATTATAGTTGTAGCACAATTGGGAGGATTCTCTTCGAGGACTTGGGAAAGACTACGCTGTCACAGAATACCAGCGTAAAATAGCAGCTTAATGCTGCTGTGTTTCATATGGTGTGTGTAGAGAACTGGAGACCCGTTTAACTGGAAAAGATGCATTAGATCTTAGTACTTAGTGGTGGTGGTGGTCTTGATTCTTAATTGAGAATAGTTGTAGGTGTCCAGGGGTCACAGCATCCGCTTACCATCGGGTGGGCTATAATCGCCATCTAATGTACTGAGGCTATTTCATTAGTATCATATTAAATAAAAAAAAAGTAAAAAGTAAAGTTACAGCCTATATACGTCCCACTGCTGGGCACAGGCCTCCTTTCTTTTCTGAGAGGGTTTTAGGTCAAGAAAGTGTCCGCCGTGCTTCGCCAATGAGCGTTGGCAAATTTCACATGTCTTCGAAATATTTTTTTTCTTATTCCTCAGACATGCAGGTTTCCTCACGATGTTTTCCTTCCCCGCCGGGCATGTGGTAAATCAGCACTTAAAATTGCAATTAACAATTTCATTGGTGCCGGCGGGGATCGAACCCGGGTTAATCGCGTTATGTTATATTTACAACGAGCGTTAACCATCTGCGCTACCACGGCTCTATTTCATATTAAATGCGAGCCTCAAATTTTGACTACAGGCAAAAACTTAGGTACGCATAAGTAATTTTTTCAAATAAATAAATATATATAGCACACATCTCACGTGATGGTAAGTGTATGCTGTGGCCTATAGACATTTACATTCATACGCGTTGTCACTGAGGACAAAAATGGAATGCCTGGTTTGTAATAAACAGGGTCTCCGGTTCTATACACTCACCACACGAAACATAGAAGTATTAATCTGATATTTTACGGTATTCTGTGAAAACTAGGTCTTGCCCCGGTCGAACAACGAATTTCAGCTACAATTATATTGCTTGCAGCGTCGCTCTACCGAGTATATATTATCGTATTTTTGTGCTAGTATATATTGAATATTTGATTGTACCTCTATAAAACTCGGCTTTTAGCTCGATTGTATAAAATCTCATGCTAAAATAAACAGAAGGGGATTCTCCATCCCCATCAGACTGTTTATAGCTCATTAATAAACACGGGTATCTCCCGTAGTAGAGGTTTAGTCTTAAGTGCCTGCTTGGCATGAATTAGTATTCTGAAGATTGATATAATTACGAGACGGTCACATTATCATCTACTGGCAGGCATACTGGATGACCTTTCCTACCGTCTGGAAAAAAATAGGGTATAACATGTGAACGCAGTAGAAGCCTATGGCACTGATATTTAAAAAATATAAAAACAAAAATTCTGAATTAAATTAATTAATTAATTAAAATCCATTTAAATTTTAATTTATTTATCACTTACAACTATCATCACAGGTGTATTACCTAAATCAATAATGTAGTTAAAAACTTGGAAACTAGCTAACTATAAACAACTTACAGAGATATTTTACAATAATCGGCCTTTGTGAATTCATTCAGAGTATTGTTAAACAAATCTGCTATGCTGCAGCAAGCTGGTGCGCGCTTGCGGCACCGACAAGACGTCGTCCTACGTACTTATCAAATACACATCTTAACTATCTGTAGAATACCTGGGTTATGTATTTTACCACGGATCACTTTTAGTAAGTATGTGACGAAAGCGACATCCCTTCGTGTTTCTAGTTCATAATAGCCTATCAATCTATCACGTCTAGTATAAATAGTGTAGGATACAACAGTGGATAACCCGGGTACACACCATATTGTTTTAAATACATAAATCTCACAAATATGTACTGAATACGTCCTAGAATTAATTTGTATTTGGCTTCGTATGGTGACCAAACGACAGCATTGTATTCTAAATGACTTTTTATAAGTACCTCGTATAATGCTCTCAGAGCACCGATGTTCGTGGATCGGTTCGCTAGCCGTAAGACCATCCCTAAGTTGCGGTATGCTTTTTTACAAACATTAGTATTGTGTTTTCGAAATAATATGGCGGTAGTAAATCGCACGCCTAAATCATTAATCTCAGAAACACGCTGCAGAGGGATTCCATCAATGTAATATTGATAATGACTCTGGTTATATGCACGGCTGAACGATAAAATAGAAAATTTCGCTACGTTGATATATAATTTATTTTCCACCGTCCACACTACGACCTTAGTTATATACTGTTGTAAGTCATGAACCACCCTCTGCTTTATTTCAAAAACTAATTTCAAATAACAAGGGCGTAGACTTATTGACTACTTCAGGCAAATCATTGATTCTCAAAATGAGTGACACCTGATCTTGTAAAGTAGGGTTCGGAAAGCCATCCGCTACAATCAACATACTGACATCGGTCTCGTAAATAACAGGCGAAAAATTATAATGTGTGCGGTGTGCAGCCTAATCTAGCGAACTTCGCTAGAAGGACGTCATTGTCTACTATGGCAAAGGTCTTTCTAAAATCAAAATGGGCAACATCCACTTATTGACCAGCATCCACTGTTGGTACTATGTGTGTCATACGCTCCAGCAAGTTCCCCGTTGTCTCCCGCCCGGGTCGGGCCCGAAGCCGGGTTGTGCGTCGGACAACAGAGCACTTATTTGGGGGTACAGATTACTGTGAATGTCCGACTCAAAAATTTTGCTGGAGTGCATAATACCGCCACGGGTCTATATTCACTGGGTGCTGAGCCTCCGCTACCTTTCGGCACGTGTACTAACTACCCGAGTGAGTTTCCAACGATCAGGAAACTTTGCAGCCTTAATACAAACATTGAATATGTGTAGCAACGGCTTTTCTAACACGACCCCTAAAAATAAACGCCGGAATACCATCGGGCCCCGCCGAAGTGCAAGAAGTCCCGCCGAAGACTTAGGCGGTAAACGCGGAAGTGAGCGCCGCACGTCAGCGGGGCGCAAGTACGCCAGGTGCGTTCACGCGCCCGGCGTTGCACCACCAAACATAGTAAGGTTTTGTATTGTAAAACCGACTGGAGGAACCGAGCGAACTCATTGGCACATTCTTGTTCTGATAGTAGCCATCCGTCATTTATTAACCTCCGATGATTCGAATCGCCTTTCCTAGATCTTATGTACCTCCAAGACGCTCGCGGATATTTGCCAAATGTGCCTGCACGCGGTCGCGGTACTGGTCATGTGCTCGTGCAGTCTCGGCTTTAATTGTTTATTTAATTCTACATCGTGAGAACTCCTCATAATCATTGTCCTTTACCAGATTTATATTTTTATGTAATTTTTTTATATATTTTAGCTTTATATCCTTAATTATTTCAGTTGTGTACCACACCGGATAAGTATATCTTCTATTTACTGAATTTATATATATTTTTGGAGGAACATACTTGTCAAAAATTTCACATATCTTATCATGCAATAAATTTAGAACGTCATCCGGGTCGTGTATATGGCATATCTCATTCCAGTTTAAATCTAAATTTTATAAATAAATTGTATAATCGAATAAAGTCGGCTTTATTGAAATTCTATAATTTGCGAGTTATCGGGGATAGAGAGCACGAGTATCGTACACATGGCGATCCAGAAGGTATAGTGATTGTGGGAGAGGCTGCGGCGCACGTGCGCTGAGTTCGGTGCGCACGTCAAGCTGTGGATGGTACACGTGCACGGGCTGCGGGCCCTCGTCCGCTGCACGCAACGAGTCGCCGTCGCTAGTGCACAGCACGAGCTCCAACTGCCTATTGTTACAATTAAGTACCACATTACACTGGATGAACTCACAGATGCGCACTAACTATTCGTAATAATTAGAAATTTTATTACTACAAGAGTGCATGTTGAAGTCCCCAAATATAACTAAATTAGTTTTATATTTGACACATAGTTTTCTAATATGCTAAACATTGATTAAGACTACTTTTACGGATTTTATCGCGTTTATTTTACTATTATTTGTTATTCCCAACGTTTCGGGCGCTTTCCAGAACATATAGCTGATGTGAAGCATCAACGTTCCGGGAAGTCTGCAGTTTGCGATCATATCCTAGACGGCCCCAACCATTACATCAGATTTGGTAGACCACAAATCCTCGTGAAAGAACACCGATTCCTACCAAGGATGATACGTGAGGCTATTGAAATTAAAAAAAAACATCCTAATTTCGATAGAGAAGGAGGCTGGGTACTACTACCACCTGCTTGGGATCCTATAATCAATAAAATTAAAACTAAACCCAAGCATACCACTGCAAGACCTCAGGACATAGTTCATTTTGCATAGATCGGACCATAAACAGTAATTAAAAAAGCTGAAGGTACTCCGGGTTTAACAATGACATCGGGACGTCAGTCATCTCAGTCCCCCGTGACCATGGGAGCTGGAAAGCGCCCGAAACGTCGGGAATTAAAAATAATAGTAAAATAAATGCGATAAAATCCGTAAAAGTAGTTTTAATCAATGTGTAGTGTTTGCGTAAATATAAGAAATCATTATGCTAAACATTAACACATATTTTAAAACACAAAATTTTAAAATTTCTACTCGGTTTCCGATTTATTTTGTTCTAGTTGAGCGGCGAAACCAAATTCATTCACTGAATTCTACATTTACTGGCCATACTTCTGGGTCGCAAAGCTTCTCATAATTACTTAACGTAACACCGACGTGTGCAACGAACGTGAACGACGCGTATTCTCGCTCAGTTTTAGGTTTTAATTTTTCAATAACGATTTCAGACTTGTTTCCCAGTATTTGTTTGATATACTCCTGTAGATTGTCTTCTGTAGTGCATTGTTCCAGTCTACAGACATCTAAAAATTTCCTACGTTCAACTACATTTCATATTAGCACCTTCAATTCCCGCCTTAATTTACTATTTTCTAGCGCAAGTACTACTACAGTGTTTTTAATTTCCTGTATGATGTTGGTTTCAAAAGCACAATTTTTTGTCATTACCACTCTCTCAACTTTCTATTATCTTGTCCGATGTCAACGAATCTGTTATCGCCTGAGAAACATTTCCCTTGAAAGCTTGGTTTGGTTCAACAAGTTTGGTTTGGATCGTCGTCTGTCACCCGTATAGGCTGGGTTTCGTTTCAGCAAAAATCACACTTGAAAGTACGTTCCAAATGTTCTTGTTCTTCTCTAATCTTTAATCATATCCCCCTACTTTACGAACGGCAATAAAATAATAAATTCAGGAGGCATCTTTGACCTTGTTACTGCGCAGGGTCACAGGGTCAGGGGCAAAGGGCAAAGTAAATGTCCATAAAAAAATTCAAACGTTTAATTGAAAATTTTTGTTTTTAGTTTTTTTGTAAAATATCAGTGCCATAGATTTTCTACTCTGTTCACATGTTGCACTCTATTTTTTCCAGACGGTAAAAAAAGATCAATCAGTATATTGACGACCCCGTGGCGTGCCGTGCCGAGCCCACCGTGGCTTAGCAATAACTTGCAGCGCTAAGGGCCGCGGGTTTGAATCTTGCACGGTACAAGTATTTGTGTTATTACAAATAATAGTTCCGGGGCTAGGTGTTTGTCCTTGTGAAATTTATGAATGTAAACTGCTTCCACGATACAGGAGATTATTCTAGTATGAAGGAAATGTTTAACCAAAAAACAAGTAAAGCAAGAAAGATTTTTAAGGACTCTCCCTAAGTCGCCTTCTTAGACACCCACTACATGAAACGAGTTGAGAGTATGTTTTTTTTTCCACAACTGTCAACGTCTCCTGTACGCAGTTACTAGTACAATGCACAGATAGTGAAATAATCATAGAAAAAAATCAGTTAGATGTTAACGCCCTCAAACTGTCTCCATGATTGCAAGCCTGCCTGACACACCAGCTGAGTGTGAGCAGCGCTTTTAAGAATTGCACGTCTATAGCCACATTCCGATATTTATTTCACATTAGATAAGCTCACGTCCAGCGGTGCTCATAAAAAGATGATCAAAACAAGGTTCAGTTACACATGCGAAGATGACAAACGGGCACACCGTCCACCTGATGGTAAGTAGTAACAGATGCTGTGCTACAGACATGTTGTCCTAAGACCCATGAATATTAAGACGGAATGCTTCGTCAAAAAATTACAATAAAACCACAAGTACTTTTTTCTATGACGATAGAGACCTACAATGCTTGACTATAAGGAACGCGCAAAAAGTTTGCCGATGACTACCCCTCCCGCCTCCGCCGACTGCGTCCCGCGCTCGCCTAGTTAGTACCGTTAACAAAACAGTCGTGCGCTCACATGTGCAACGTCTTTGAATTTATGGCTCTCGCTTCAAAATTATTCATTGTTTACTTGTTAAGTTTTTGTTTGTTTTATGTTAGAGTCATTTTTTTATCAAAATGGGTACAGGGAAAGTCTATCGCGGTGGCGAACGTGTTAATATGTTAAAAGGTTCTAACGTTCTTCGAGAAGGAAAAACAAAAAAGGTTCGCTTATAATAAATCTTAGTAACAACAACATTTTTGTATTAATATTTTTTCGTTTATTTATTTATAGCATTTGCAGCCACTATTTTACGTCATCGGCAAACTTTCTGCGCGCGGTTAATACTATCCGACTTGATGGTAAGTCACACTACAGTTAATATAAGTTCCATTACAATAAAAAATTCTTCAAATTGGTACAGCTCAGTAGGCTTATAAAATTTGGACTAAAAAAAGCTATTCTCATAATTACCTGTCTCCGAAGACCTGGGTATTTCGAAGCTCTCCTGCGCGAAAGGTTTCGGTTTGCTCAAATCACCGTCGAACAGATAAGAATTGGTCCTGTTGTCAGGCAGGAGTAACTCCGTGAAACTGTTTAGCATAATCTGCAAGAAATAAATTAATTCATCATCATCATTACAGGTCTTCACAAATCCACTTCTGAACATAGGCCTACCCTAAGTTATGCCACAAAAGACAGTCCTGAACTACCAGTATCTATCTTCCTGCATGTCTTACAAGACCGTCACTTCATCGAGTCGTTATACACCCCACTTGCCGGTACAAGAATGCCCTTCTAGAATCTTACTGATCGTTGGGCTATGTCGGTTACTCTCTTTATACTGCGGATATCATAGTTACGAATTCTATGATATAGTTTGTTTGTCATAGCCTTTAAAAGGGTTTCTCGGAAACGGAGCTCAATAGTCAGTAAAATTCTGATTGATCCATATTTCTTAAAGCTTGTAGGCTTAGTTGGAAACATATTTCGCCATCAAGTAAAAAATAACGTTATTTATATCTTAATAAACGTCAAACTAACATAAGACTTTTATTTCTTCAATGTTAAGTTTTTTTTAAGTTTGTGGCCTTATATTAAATGTTCCTTAGAGCTTGAAATGAACCAGTGAGTTACTTGAATTGCGATTGGGCGATTTAAGTGATATCAATTCGAAGATCAAACTTAGTTTCTTGGGTTATTTTTGTAGAAGTATAAGTCATTTATAGCTTACTTACGACCCACTGCTGGGCACAAGTTAATCCAGAAATGTTTTATGGCAAGAAAAATTTTTCGTTTTACCCCAATGCGTGTTGGTGCTCTTTTCGCATTACAAACACATCGCGCCAATTCAAAATTACTGACGGCATCACGAGCTTTGACTAGAAAAGAAAAAAACGACATGACATAAAGATTAGTTGTAGGAATGTAACGAAATATCGGCGTCTCTTTTTAGCTTATGAGTATATTCGTATGTAAAAAAGGACAATAGTAGTAATCATTACGTTAATATGGCAACAATTGTTTCGCTGCGGCCGGGCGCCGTGTTTGGTCGCAGTCAATGACTACTATATCAGTTGTCATTGCGACTTTAGTGAGGTGAGTTTGTTATTTTCATGTTTCTCTCGTGGATTTCGATTATTACGAAATTTCTTATTCTATTCCTCGGGACCTCTAAATCGGGATAAAAAGTATCCTATATGTTAATTCAGGTAATAAACTATTTGTGTGCCAAATTATTACATTCAAACTGGTCTGATACTTTTGGCATGATTGAGTAACAAACAAAAATTCAAACTTTTGCATTTATTATAGTTTGATTAGCGTGAGTATGATAACTGAGCCCAATTTATTGTCTAACAAACAAATTTTTTTATTAGTATTTCTTGTTTAATAATTCCCGGGAAACATTAATAATAGATAGTTACATTATAAACGCAAAAATAAAACTACTTCTTAAAATAAACTGAAAACATAGGTTTAACTTGTAATATATTTCAGTAATCTTCTTTTAATTTCCTTTATTTTGATACCCGATCGATGATAGGTTGACTAAAAAAAACCTATCTTAGAAAGAACACGTAGGAACAAGTAAGAAAGAACACACGGGTGTTTGAGACGAATCACACGAAATAATCTTTTTCTAAATAAGCGCCACATTATCGATATCAAGTGTAGTGCGCAGCACTACGTCAAGCCGCCATCTTTGTGCCAGACTCAGTTTAGGTATACACGTTTTTTTCGTAGGTATTTCAAGTCCTTTATTTTTTTTCTAGTCAAAGATCATGAAGGATTATAGTTCATAAAAGATAGCTTGATCTCTGCGACAGCTGTCAGTAAAATCACGCCTATGAAGTCCTGAATTTCTTAGTAATACGAGTACAGACAGTACCTGTCAATGTCATACTTTATGGGCATGCCGACCTAATTAGTGCATGCCCATAAAGTATGACATTGACAGCTACTGTCTGTACTACTAAGAAATTCAGGACTTCATAGGCGTGATTTTTACTGACAGCTGTCGCAGAGATCAAGCTATCTTTTATGAACCATAGTGTATGACACATTGGCAGTGTTGCCAATTTTAAAATCTAGCTCACGTTGTAGAGAACACTATAATTCCGTCAAGTACGGTTGTCAAGTGTCAATCATTCAATTCTAGTGACCGAATCATTCTAGCACATTTTGTCACACGTACGGTTACATTCGGATTGATCATTCAAATGGATCACTTCGGGCTCCAGTACTCTGCTGAGTCTATGAGATCCATCAGGAACCGAACATTTTCTATTTGAGATTTATAATAGCGCCATCTAATACATGCTATAGGTAATAAAAGTAATTTTATCTAACTAAAACTTATTGACTTTCAAGGATATCACAGGTTCACAGGATATGCGACTCAAACAGTAAAGAGAGAGAATGAAATAGACTAGTTGATAGTTTTCTATATATTCAACAGTGACGCACCATTTTGGTCTAACAACGACAAAATAGTTTCCGAGCTGTATAAAAGAATTACGTCAAATGAAAATTCAGTCTCTCAAATTTTAAAGATAAGAATGTATTGCACCTTTTTTCGTATTTTTAAACTAAAAAATGATTAAAATTACAATTTAATTTGTTGACATTTCCTAATTATTTTTATCAATAAAAAAATCTAAAAAAAACAAATATTTTGTTATCCCGTTAAAAAATTCGTTAGCCGTTAAACACAATTTTTCCCGTTGTCGGAACTCGTCAAGTCGGCAACACTGCACCTTGGTCAAGTGACGTTTACAGAAATTTTTACCTAATTTTGAGTGAGAGGCCTGAAACAAGTCCACCGTATTCTTTCCAAGCTTTGCAAGCTTTTGCGAGTTAACAGCTGTGCAATGACAGCGCACAAGTTAGCGAACGGGGCGCTGTGGCGATTGACAATGGCAGTTTCGATTTAGTATTCCCAAACTCAAATTCTTAGTTTAATTTGGTGGGTACAATGTCAGAGTAGACGTGAGGAGAGGACAGTCACAACAATTTACATATAAACTCTCAATAAATGATTTCATAACAGATCAGTATTACAGCATGTAGTACTGATCTGTTATGAAAATGCCTATGCTTGTGCTCGTCAAGCCAGCTTGAGCTAGCAGTTTGTGCCAGTATCCACCGCAACTTGTGCTAAATGGGGTGATTTCGACTTTAAAGCTTCACCCTCTTCACTTCTTTTATACGTGACGACCGTGTAAAACATGCAGATAGTCGATGGATACAGGTGACTCAAGACTGTGCTCTGTAGCATATCTGGGAGAAGCCTATGTTCCGCTATGGACTTGTTTGGGTTGTAATGATGGTGATGTTCTTTCATTAGATGAAGTGACGGCCTGGTAAAACATGCAGGAAGTCAATGGATGGCAGGTGGCTCAGAATCGTGCTTTATATCATTCCTTCGACCCTTCGACCTCCAACGAATGATTTCAACTAATAAATTCAGTTATAACCTTATTAAGGACTGTTATCTGATGATCTTTATTTTAATTTGATTCCGCATTTACGTTTTTTTTTTTTGTAGAAAAAGGGTAACAACCAACACATCCCACCCGATGGTAAGTTTGAAAATATAAGGCAATTTAAATTCAATTTATTTTTAAAGAATAAGGGTTAAAAACAAGCATACGGTCTACCTGCTGTGACCCATAGACATCTACATCTATCCTCGATTAAGAATCAAACTGCATAATATATAAGTCTCAAAGGGTCTCCTGTTTTCTACACTTACCATATGGAAACAGCAGCATTAAGCTGATATTTTACGCTAACATTCATTGAGAACGTAGTCCTTTCCTAGTCGAGGATTCATTCATGCTACTACCCTTACATAGCTGCAGCAAAACTATACCAAGTAACTTGTATTTCGTTTTTGATTGCTTTGTTTATACCCATAGAATACTATAATACATACATATATAATATATGCTATAATACAGGGGAGTGGGCGGAGCCCGCATAGCCACTAAAATGTCACTAACGTGTCAATTCACACGTATAAATCTCAACAACGAGATGTGTTTTGACGTTACAATCGTTTCCAAATTTCGCATGCAAATTATTTAGAAAATGCCAATTTGCCTCCTATTTACAAACAAATATGTATTAAAATTTAACCGATTTTTTTAATGATGATCTTGAACATTAATCAAAAGTCTAAAATGTGTAAATTTACTCAGTCTGTCAACACAGCGAATCGGGTTTGTAGTAGTGATAATACGACGTAATTGCTTGTATGTGTGCTCCCGGCGACACCGAACCTCGTACAAAATAAGGTAGACAGCCATTCTATTGTGTATTATAGTATTCTATGTTTATGCCTCATAAAAACTACGTCCCTCTCTCTATTTGCACAAATTTTAGCTCTGGCTGGGAAACGCACACAGGACGTAATAGAAAAGTACGGTCGTCAACCCAGTATTAGATATAGAAGTTATATCATTTACCTGCGAAGCGCCATCAGTTTCGCTGCCAATGACTGTGGACGTGACAGTTGAAGTTGGCCCGTATGCGGCCACTACGGGCGTGGCGACTGTATGCCGTAGAGTCGCTGGTAGTTTCTTCTCGTTTAATTTAGACTTTAGCTGAAATCGAAAACTTCATGTTAGTACTAAAAACTAATGCTCTTGCGTTGTGGGATCCAAAAGTTTAAAGTGAACCAACGTTGTTGGTTTCCACTTATTTTTCATTAGTCCGAAGAAGCCCACTCATTTAAATTGGCCTCTCCTGTTGTCAAAAGGATTTGCTTTCATGCTTGACAGACATATTGGTGATTGTAGTACCGGACCTTGTGATGCCTGTCACCGTCCAGTGCACAACATAGGCCTCCCATCAGAATGTCTCATAGGGGGGATGTTCGCTATAGTTGCAATGCTTGGCAAGCGGGTTGGTAACCGCACTTTCCGCAGTTTCTCTCTGTCGCCTCTTACGACCCCCACGGGAAGATACGAGGTAATTGATTCTTACACCGCCACTCCCTGGCTGAGGTATACGGCATTGTTGAACCAAGACTTTCGGAAGCCATAAGAACTACATGGGAAATTCCATAGGCGCCACATACCAATGGGATGAAATTAAATTAGATGATCTTACATTGTCACTGTTTCATTATCACACACAAAGCTTATTAAATATTACCTAAAGCGTGCACAGGAAGCAGAGTCAAAGGCCTTCTGATACTACGATCGTTAATCCGCTCTTCAAGTATTGCGATATCCATTCCTGCACTATTTACGAGAGAACGAGAGAGAGGTGCACATACATGATTGAGTTACGCTGCGGTATGCCTTCAGTATGGATGAATCGGCTCGACCGAGGAAGGACCACGCTTACACAGACTCAGTTACAGCCTATTAAAGACCACTGCTAAACATAAGCCGCCCACATAGATTGCCTCGTAAGATAGATATTTGCCATAGTAGCCACACTTGGCAAGCGGGTTGGCAACCGCAGTTTTTTATTTACTATGTAAACGACAAAAGTCTATTTAAATATGCGAATATCTGAAAAGAATTATTGCCGTACACAGATAGAATCTCAAAACAAGAATATATTATAGGTTACACCTACCATAGTATATTTAATTTAATTTATAATTCATAACGGCTCATAAACACTATCCTTGGATGTTGTCAGGTGAAAAAACTGGTTTAGTCGTTATTAGGTAAACGCTGCTGCTAATCTCCTGTTTTTTTTTTATAGAAGAGAGGGCAAACGAGCATACGGCTCACCTGATGGTAAGTGACTACCGCCGCCCATGAACAACTGCAATGCCAGGGGAATTGCAGATGCGTTGTTGGCTTTTTAAAAAAGGAGTACTTAAGCTCTTTTTCTTGAATGTCCCTACGTCTTATCGATCCAAATAAATATCTGGTAGTAGTCGAATACACAAGGAAGTTGTGTGAGGTAGAAAACTTCTTTTAAATCGCACAGTGGTGGCCCGCCAGTCATCCAGATGGTATGGTTGGTATCGCGAGTTTTGTCGTAATGTGCGAAAGTAATATTGTGTAGCTGGAATTAGTCAGAACAATTCCTTAGAGCACTCCCCGTGGTAAATGCGATAAAATACGCAAGGAGATGCAACATCTCTTCGCAGTGCCAGTGAGTCAAGCCGATCGGAAAGAGCTCGGTCGCCGACGATTCAAAGGGCTCGGCGGCGCTGGATGCGATCAAATGGAAGGAGCTGGGACTGGGGAGACCTAGCTCTAAGATGGGAACAGTATTCCACGTGCGGCCGAACCTACACCTTTTAAAATTGGAAGCAATGTGCCAGCATGAAATACTGTAACGCTCTGCTGAGCACGCCAAGCTTTATAAATTAGTTTCCCTATCGTCTCTTATGACATCAACGGGATTATATGGGGTAGTGGATATTCTTACATACCGCCACTACACGGCCACTTGCACAGAATACGTATTATTACGCTACGGATACGGATACGGATACCGCTTTTTACTAATAACGTTGAATTCCATCTTAGACCACAGGGGTGACAACGCATCTACATTTTGATTCTTAATCTATGGGTCACAATATGCATTTACCATCAGATGGACTGCGTGTATGTGTGTATGTAGTATATATATATATATATATATATATATATAATTTGATATTGATATATAAAAGTAATGAAATCTTTTAGTTTTTAACCAATTATACAAATGTTTATTTTAGTTTTTATACAAAATATTACAAATTTCTAGCGATCCGGCTTCACACAAGTGATTTCGAAATCTCGACAACAGCGCTTCCTACCAATTCCAATTGTGAACCTAAACCACCTAGGGACGCACTCAAACACACAAAAAGTTCATCAAAATCAGTCCAGCCGATCTCAAGACCTATCCGTTGGAAGGCACTATGTTGGCTTACGTCCTCAGCGATTCTGCCATGACAATATCGTTGGCAAATCGAAGGTGAGTAATGTAATGTACTCGCCATTGATGTTACCGTATCCTACCCATATCCGTACCTTCCCAGTCCAGTAGCTTGAAAACGTCTTCCAATACAGCGGTGAAGAGTTTTGGGGATATAACGTCACCCTGTCTTCCACCTCTCTGCAGTTGGATAGGTTTCGTACTCTGGTTCTGTACTCGGATAGCCATCGTAGCAAACCTACTGTACAAACACTTCAGCACTTCGATATACCGACAGTCAACTTGGCACCGTGAAGGGAATGTTACCGCTCAAATTTTTTACGAAATTAAAAGCTTTCTTATAGACCACATTCGCCAGGCAAAATGGCAATTTGTCGAAGGGTATGTATGTGGTCTGTGGTGCTAAAGCCTTTTCGGAAACTGGTTTGTTCGGGAGGATGGAAGTCGTCGAGTATGGGTGCGAGACGATTCGTAATGACTCTCGAAAACAGTACGTAGACGTGGCTCAGATGGGGATATCGGTCCGTAGCTCTTCAAGACAGCTTTGTCACCAAATTATAATTTGCAAACAACTACAAGATTGTACCATTGTTAGCGAAACACGACTGCACTGGATAAATTGTAGCATCTTCTTATACCATGATTTTTAATAGAATAAGGGTGACAAGCGAATACAAAGCCTATGATTATAAGTGGATGCTGTGGCTCATATACTTTGAGATACGCATTTTGTTACAGGCACGCGTTTTGATTTTTAATTTAAAACTGTCATATTTATAACTGTGTGGTAATATTTGAAATATATTTTCTTCTAGTTACGAAGAATTTTTTAGCTGACAATATTTGTAGTGAAGTCTACTAGAAACCTTATTTACGAAGTAAAAAGGCTAAAAGGCCGGAATTAAGGACATCCACCTAGTCCATAGATTCAAGGTTGTAAACTGAGCTTATTTCAAGATTTATTTCAACAATACCTGTGTAGTGAGAATGAGTCATGGTATTTTATAATTGTTCCACGTTGTTCTGTGACTTAAAGATCCCATGTTTATGTAGAAGTTTCAAAAAATAATGTACCAACTGCGTTACTTGCCTGACACGTCGTAAAAAGCAAATGGGATATTGGGTTTGTAAATTAGATGGTAGAAATTGCGCTTTAGAGGTGCATGACAACGCGCTTTTCTGTTAAAGACAACTAATGGAAAATGAAAATGTTTCATTAACAGAAAAAATTATACAATAGGTAATATCTGTTGGTTTCCTCACTAGGCAAGCCTGTATCGAGGAAACCTGATACAAGCCTTTATCGAGAAACTTTTACATTGTGCCGTGTACTGTTATTGTGGTATTTAATGGTGGTTAATATAGCGCATAGCGCCATATTACAGCGCGCTATTCGTCAATAACGCATAGCGAGTGCTATGTAAGTAGTCGCCATGGCGCTATGATGCTATGACGCTTTGGCGCTATTCACATCAAGTGGTAATTAGTTTTAGCAGCAGCGCTGTTGGGAGAGGACGTGTGACGCAAATTTGATCTAGCAGCACGCTATTCATCGCGCGCGAACTAATTTAGTGTTAGACGTTGTTTAGTTAGTGTATACTGTATATTTATAAGTGATCGAAGGACACAGTTGTCTGCTACAAAAGAAGCCTAACTAAAGTTTTAAATGTAAATAAAATATAGATACAAAAGTGTATATAATAGTGTTTGTAAATAGTTGATTTTTGTATATACAATCAATAAACTTTTAAATACACCTTAAATTGATTTATAATTTATATTAAGGTTTAAATAACGTTTACATCAATTATAATGAAAAATGATTAATTTTATTTTGTTTTAAAAAGTACATGCCTTAAAATTATTTTTAGGGTTATAATAAGTCGTAAGCCTGAAAAGTATGAAAAAGCGTTCATTGATTTCTCTTTACCAAATTATTTTATTTTAATCTAAAATTCGACTTATTACGAAATAATGTTCTTATATAGCGCGCTGTCTATCCAATGAACGACACGTAATGTAGCGTGCTTCGAGATATAGCGTGCTGCTAAACTTAACGCGCTTGCCGGCCTCCTACACGCTTTCTTATAAATAGCGCGCTATAACATAGCGTATTTAATAGCGCGCTAGAAATTTATAGTTTATAGTCTGTAGCGTGCTATTGATTTATAGTCGTTTTGAACAACTTTAGTGGTATTGTCTCATACTATTCGGGAAGGTTGGCCGCCTTGGTCATTAATATATTAGACGCATTATAAATCTCTTTATATTTTTATTAATAAGACCTTGGTTTTAATGGTTTAACATCCTCTAACATACAATCCTCGATTAAGTATGAAAATGCAGATGCATCCCTTGAGGACTAAGACAGATGCCTAGCATCCTGTAAAAAGGGACTCCGGTTATTTACACTCATCATATGAAACACTACAGTACTGAGCGAGAGGCCTATGTTCAGCAGTGGACTTGTGAAGGGCTGTAATGATGAAATGATGAATACTGAGCTGCTTTTTCACGTTGGTACTCTGTGAGAGCGTGGTCCATCCCCGGTTGATTTGACTCATTCGTGTTAAAATTATAATAAAGCTGCAGCATGGCTCTACCATGTACAATTCTTGCAAACAAAGATTTATGATAATTACGAGCTATAATCTACAAACAAAAAATATATAAATAGCCGTGAGGTGGTGTCGTAGAACACCCG